ATATATATATATATATATATATATATATATATATATATATATATATATATATATATATATATATATATATATATATATATATATATATATATATATATATATATATATATATATATATATATATAATATAATGTATGTATTTATAAATGCATTATGCATGCAATGCATGCCGACACCGAACCCGACGGGGTGCATAGTACGTGCCACTCACTGCCTCTACATGAATGCACCTCTTTCATCTCATGCACCCACTAATTATATTTATTTACCTCACAAAATTAAAAAAAAAAAGTATTTTGGAGTTTCCACGTTGGAAAATAAAGATGAATACTGCTAGCATGTATAGAAGGGTAGAACCCTACCGATCAGTTATTGTGTCCCAGTTTATTTGTCGGCAATTATAGCTCAATTTAGCTCCCTTTAGGTGGCTATAGAGGTCATGTCTTTCTTGGGACTAATGTCTTTAAGTTGGGGGGAGGTGAAAGACTAGGGTACACTGGCATTATACGGAGTGACTTGTTTGTTTAGCTGTGAAATGAATGTGTTTTCATATGGAACGTCCTATTAAAGGGATATCCACCGCACCATTTTTGGACTCTTAAATGCTGTAGACCCCTTGACTAGGACACTAATGGTTACACTACTATCCCACTGTCACTCCCCAAAAAAATAAAAACTAACTTGATTTTGTAGCACCAAACTTCACTACAAAAACCAATTTCAAAAGCGATGTTAATTTGGAGAATCACACTTATATTGCCACTTTTGATACCTAAATGATAGAATTTAGGATGTGTATGGACAACTGGATTGGGTAATAAAACACTTGGGTTGAATCATATTAAAAAGTTGAATCCAATCGATTAGTTAGTTCAACTCAAGAGCTTATATACTGATTATTTTACTCTTGCACTTCCGATGTGGGATGTGCACTTTAAGACTCCTCTCCAAGTGGACAACCGGGTCATTTTGAATCTAAGCGGTTGATCACTTGTAAATGAACCCTCATTCCCTTGATGATTGTTTTTTGAGCGTCAACACCTAAAGGACCACGAACCGCTGGGTATGGACTTCTAGACGAGCAATCATGCTAAACGAGCCACATGCCGTTGGGTACATACTCCATACAGACAACTGGGCTAAAAACTAACGGGCCGCTAGAAATGAACGTTTAGACGGACACCCCTAACAAACGAGGTGGGCTAAAATCTGCTCTAATATCATGATAGAATTTAGGATGGGTATGGATAACTGGATTGGGTAATAAGACACTAAGGTTGAACCATATTAAAAGATTGAATCTAATTGATTAGTTAGTTCAACTCAAAAGCTTATATACCGATTATTATAGTCTTGCACTTCCAAAGTGCAACACTAAAGACATATACAAATATTTTCGTACAGATTCGGACAATAGAGATTCACCAAATTAAAAAAATAGAGAATCAAAAACAAACCTTTTTAATTTTACAAAGACAATAAAGATGATCAATATATGTTCGAGATTAGTGCGAGAACTGAGACCGCTTGAAAAAAGAACACACTAATTTTACAAGGATGATTTTATTAAGAAAAACTTTAGAGTAATTAAAAAAAATTATATTCTTGTAAAAAAGTTCTATTATAATATAGTACCTGTTCATACAAAATTTACATGGCTAATAGAGATGAAATAATATATTTAAATTAAAAATATAGAGTAATTTAAGAAAAAAAATGCAAAGAGTGAATATTTTTGGATTATATGAATAGTAAACAAAAGAAATTTTTTTATTCCTTTTATGACACATAATTCCATATGATCTGTCATATATGCCCTGATTAGCAGCAAGTGTTACGTTGGATAATGACTAATTATACAAATGACTCTACGAATGTAGTTATGATTGATTATTCGAATATCTCTACGAATGTGGTCATTAGGACAAGTATTTGATAATGACTAATTATTTCAATAACTATTCAAATTATTTTTAATATCTTATTCGATTTGAATTGTGTTATATGTCATTTTTTCTATAAAGAAAGAATATTTTAGAATTTTCAATTACCAAATGTTAGAGTAATAGAACTAATTTTATTTAGAAAAAAAATGATATTTTTAAATCACATAAATCATCCTAAAGAAAAATTAAAAAAAAGGGAGGTGGATATAATGCAAGAGAGACGGTTGGATTAAATGGAGAAAGTGGCATGAAATCCATCCACAGATAAGATCAAGAATGGGATTCCCGGCGACGTGGGCTACCAAACCTAAGGAATATTCCACCGGCAGTAGCGGCGGCGGCGGCGGTAGGGACGGAGGTGGTGCAATGGGCTTCCTGTTTCTCTTCTTCCCGGAAAACGAAACCTCCACCGCCAAGAAGAAAACCGCCCATCAAACGGCCCTCGATCTCCTCTCTTCTCCGTCGTCTTTCAAGCCAGTTGCCGCTTTCTTCCGCCGCTCGATCTCCGCCACCGTCGTCTCCACCGTTTCCGTCTGCGCCCTCCTCCTCTTCTTCCTCACTCTGCTCTCCTTCACCGTTTACTTCGATTCCGCCGCCAATTCATCCCTTTTGAGACCCCGAATTGCGGCCTCCGGCGAAAATTCGTCCTCCGGCCACGCGCTGCAGGGCATGGGCTCGCTGTACCGGAGAGGAACCCGAGCCATGAACGATCTCGTCGTAGCTCACGCCGTTGATTCCCTCACCACCCACGAGCTCAGACTCTTCCTCCGACTCCTTTTCCGGTCGGCGGTATTGGCGAAATCGGACGTTTTGCTCATTTTCCGGTCTAAATCGGCCGCCCAAGACCGGGTCGTAGCAGAGGAAAACAGGTCGTTTCTGAATCTCCTCCTCCACGGCGGCGGGAGTGATCGGAAATCCATGGCTGCTTTCGAGATTTCCGACAAGAAGATGAAGGAAAGCGGAGAACCGATCTGGGGACGGAAAATTCGGAGGAGGAATCCGGGTGGAGGAAACTGGACTGAGTCGACTCGGTGGAGTTACGGCTCTGTAGTGGGTTTCGACGCGGACGAGCTGGACCCGGAGAATTCTTTAGCCGGGTTTCTTGATCACGTGCCCATGAGCTTGAGAAGATGGGCTTGTTACCCAATGATTCTCGGGCGAGTCCGGAGGAATTTCAAACGGGTGACTCTGATTGACCCGAACGAATTCCTCCTGCTCGACGACCCATTGGGTCGAGTCAAGAACAGAGACCCCGACTCGGTGCACCTAATGACCGTAACTCATCCCACACCCGCATCAAAGCGGCCCGAGGACCCGGACCCAAAACAGGTCGCCCCGGGAATCGTATCGGGCGGGGCTCGTGGGGTCCGGATGCTTTCGAGCTCAATGCTGACGGGGATCGTCGCGACGGCAATGCAGCCCAAGAAGAAGAAGAAAAACTCGGTGACCGAGTTCGGGGTCATGAACCAACTCGTCTGGAACGAGTCGGTACTGAAGAAGCTGAATTTGGTGGTATCGGACGAGTCGATCCCGGGCCTGAGTTCACTCGCTGAGTTAAACTCGAAAGTGTTAACCGTAGTGTCAACAGTTAGGCCAGGGAATGGTAACGGTAAAGGGGAGGGTAGTATTGTGATTTTGAAATATTTGTGTGCATTATTTTTTGATTCCACAGTTTATCCAGATTGCTAATTATTAGAAAATGAAAGGGAAATTCACATTATTGTTTTTCCAAAGGGGAGAAAGAAAAAAAATTAAAAATATATTGGGTTCACAAGTTTCTTGTTACGGTAATTATATTGTTTTAAGTCGTTAACTTGTTTTGTATATGATGTACTATTTGTTAATATTTTTCATTCTATAGTGAATTTTGTGCATCAAAATATCAGATATCCCTCCGTCTTAATTTTGATTATAATGTTTCTTTCTTTCATATCTTGATAATTTTTGTTCATTTGTATATATTTTATTGATTATTTGATGAGATAAAATATTTTTGTCATCTTTTATTTTGTAAAATTTTTGGCATAGTTTTTAAATATTTAATTTTTATTTTTTATTGATGTAACAATTTGTAAATAAAATGATTTGAAAAGATACGGAGTTTTACCTCGTAAATTCCATTTTTGTAATCAAATTTGGGACGAAGAGAGTATACATGTCACACAAATTTATTAAATTGTAGTAATATATGACACAAACATAATGTAAATGATGATTGAAGTTAATCATGTTTGACTCAAAAAAAATGAATGTAATTTATTTAAATAATCGTACAAAATTCCGAATAAATTGCTCCCCCGTGTGTTGCAAAATAAAAAGAGTAGCTAGACATTATTTCTAGAACCAAATATTATTCACTTCAATAAATCATAATTGATCGAACTTTCCATTTTATTTTGTAACGGTTGAGTTAAAAAAATTATATTACATTATATTATTTATAAAAATAAGATGTGATATAACCAACTTCTGGATGGTTCGAAAGGTGTGCACTTACACACGACCCCCAAAATTATAAAGCCCAATATGATTAGATGTTCATTGTTCTAATTATGGAGTATTTGATATTTTTAATAAGAATAAAAAATTTAACCCGCCGTAAATGATGCCAGATGATTCATTGGGGACAAAGAGTATACTTCTTCCGTCTCTAAATGTTTACCACATTTCAAAAACCGAAAAAAAATATCAAGTTTTTTTCATTCATTTTATTTAAATATTGGTATAGAAATAAAAAAATAAAATTTACATATTTAAAAACTACATAAAAAATTCTTCGAAATAAGAGGTGTCAAGAATATTTTATTTTATCAAATAATCAATAAAAACGTACAAACAAACAAAACTTTTCGCGATGATTAATAAAAGGAAATGTGACAAATATTTTAAGACGGAGGGAGTATATATTTTCTCCGTTATGAACTAATTATCTCACTATCCTTTTTATTCTCGCAAATAAATTACCGAGTAGTATCTAATATTGTTACTGATGAATACCCGAGAATGGGGGTATCCGGCCCAGTTGGAAAGCGGCCCAGCCCAACTGTGCCAAGGCCCACCTAATTGGGCAAGGGCAAGAGGAAGCTAAAGCCTTAGGAAGGCCACCTTTGCATCAGGCCATGCTCGGCCTTGGCAGGGTTGGTCATCCTCGGACCACCCTCGGCCAGCCTTCCTTCAAGAGACTTCGGGGAGCAGATCATGCACACTCGGCCTCAGCCCAAGACATCAGCAGACCAGACCAAGGCATGGGAGCTGCCTAATTAGTCAAGATCAAGGGACTCACGATTGGACCTCTGCCACACCTCTGGCAGAGTTGTTCTAGCCACCCTATTTGTAACATATTTTGTATAGCAGCCCTAGGGGTAATGATGTGGTTAGGCGCCGCCAGTGAACAGCCCAATCTTTGTAGACCCGGACCATTGGACTCCGGACCAACGGTCGGGAACCCTCTGTTGTAATTCGCATATAAACCCTTTCTAGAGGAAAGGGGAGGGACATTCTCACTAGCACAATAATACTTACAATCTTACTTGATTCCTAACTTGTCCACTCTCGACTCAATTCGATACTCTTCCGCCTAGTCTCCTAGGCCCCGGGTTACTTAACCCAACCGTTAGTTTCCTAATAAATTAAGAATATTTGATTTGTAATTTATCTTTATTTTGAACAAATTTCAATCATCGAAATTTACTTTCTGAAATTCTTTTGAAGCTTTTAATGTGCGTGATTGTATTTGCCTTTTTGTGTAATTTTAAAAGCTTAAAAGTCACTAAAAAGTACTAATCCATATCAGCTATATGACCATGCAATGATTCCAAAGTGATACAATTAGGATCACAAAAATAAATCACATGCAATTAAGACAAATTAATTTGGCCAAAAAGGTCAAGACATGCATTATTACATCCATGATTGATTAATTATTGTACTTAGTATCTTTCTTCCGTCCAATATAATAAATTACTATGTCTACCATTCAAATAACATGTAAAATTTCATCATTTTTGTATGTATTTTATTTACAAAATAATATAGAAATTAAAAAAATAGGACTTAAATATTTAAAAAATTACATTAGAAAGTTGTACAAAACAAGATGAGATAAAAATAGTTTATTTATTCAAATGACCAATGAAAACACATAAAAATAAATAAAATATTGTAAAAGCCATAATAGAAATAGCGCAATTCATTATATCACGAAGGAAGTTAACTTTACCACAAAAAATGTTTGATTGAATTATTTTAAATTCAATTTGGGAAAAAAATTAACTAGATTAAAACATACCTTATATACTTATAAAATAAGAATTTTATTTATTTATTTATTTATTTTTTTTTTTGCAAAAATCAGACTTATAATGTCAAATAGTAACAGGCATAATGTTAAAAATAGTAGAGTATAAAATATCACCACACAATGCCGAAGTGCGAGAATTCCACCGTGCCAATATTGTAAAATTAAAAAAATAAAATTCATACACTTTAAAAACGATATTAGAATTTTTATAAAATAAAATGTGAGAAACTCAAACCTATAAATTAGTTTGTCAAACATATAAAAGTTTAATTTTTATAAATGCTTAAAAAAAAATAATCTTTAGAGAGACAAACTACAAACCAAGCTAATTTTTTTCTACGGCTGGCGCAAAAACAAATAAAGACAGTATTGTTCGGTTTCTTCATTGTATTTAATGATGTCTCATAAGAAACAAAATTGCACGGGCGATACTCCGTATTTATTTAGGAAAAACTAAAACACTCGTTCGTCCCCAATTTGATTATAAATTGGGTTTATGAGAAAAAAAAAATTCACTTTTCGAAATTATTTTATTTACAAATCGGTATGTCAATAATAAATAAAAATTGCATATTAAAAAATACATCAAAAGTTCTAGAGTACAAAAGAAGAGGTGACATGAATATTTTATTTTACCAAACACTTAATGAAATCGCGTAAATAAACAAAAGTTATCGAGAGGAGAGAAAAAAAATTATAATTGAAATGAGGACGGAGGAAGTAGGAGAGAAATAGTACTTCTCTCGTCCCTAAATCTCCTTCTCGTTTTGATTTTTATGTGACTTAAGAGATACTTTTGTGTTAATTTTTTCAAATTATCCTTGATGTGATTGATAAAAATAAGACGTGACCGTTTGGGCAACTTTTTCACAACAATTATTGGGATTATGAATTACTCCCTAAAAGAATTCATTTTCTACACTATAGGAGTATAGGGTAGAAATAGGCAAGACATGATTTAATTTTTTTTAAGGGGGGAATTGAGAAGATTTCTCCCCGTAAAAAAAGGACAAATATTTTCCACTACATTTTTTTTCCTTTAATTATGTTGAAGATGTGTATGTAGTGTTACTTTGTTGTTGTTATTGTATTTATTGTATTAATACTGCTGTTTTTGTAGAAGTTTTGTATAAGTTTTTGTATTGTATTGTATAAGTTTTGTTGTTGTAAATTATTGTATTCATATTGACGATTCATGAACGTAACTATGAATCACCATCCGCCTCAGCATAACTATTTAGTTCAGCTCTTGTGAGTGAAACTAGACGCACTTTCATTATCAATAAGTCTCAATTTATATTACATATTAATGCAATCAAATTAAAATTTGAAAGTTCTCAACAAAATATATCTATTCAAAATATTTTTTTTATATTAATATACATTAGAAATTTTATATAATTGAGGTCTCAAGTTCATCAAATCTGACTCAAAAAAATCAAATTACACAAATACAATGAGACGAAAATAATACTCCCTAGTACTTTGCATATACATTCGAGCATTCTAACACCTTTTGGGCAGAAGAATTCATAATCATTCTTGAAGGTTTTGTCTTATTTGATTGAAGAATTTTAGAATAACACCAAAATTACAGTATAGAAAAACCAACAGAGTATTAGAGCTACAGGGAACAATATAGTCAAGGGATAAAAAATGCAATATAGATAATGCAGAATAGCAATTAGCAAACAATACCACTTTCTATATTTCACAATACCAAGTAATGATTTATTTTAAAATACATATACACCCTTTTAATGAAATTTTAAAAAAAAGAAGAATAAATGATCTTAAAAAAATGGACCATTACATGCTAATCAAATCAAAGAATCAAGAATATGGCAATCTTCATAACTAAAAGCTTCAGACCAAGGCAAGCCAGCAATAGGTAATAGGGAAAAACTTTAACTTTTTCAGGCAGGAAAGACATGACCAAAAACCCAAAAGTACCAAGAACTAGGCCATCCAAACGCATCACGAGTCGAACAAATGCTCGAGATTCAATGCCTGCATCTAAAAGAGGTCGACTTTCCGTTTGAGCATATCTTGTTTCCATTTGGGCAGCTTATAGAATGCCTCTTTTGTTGCCCCGAGAACAGTCGCAAATTCCTCATCTGAGAGATAAGCCTGTGAAGCAATCACAATCAGAAATGAAAACTTCAAGCCTGTTTGATTCCCAGAGAGTTATTCCTAGAAAAATGTTTGCCAATTTATGTCGTAAAGTCACACATCTTCCCAAGACCCTACTTTTTAAGGGATTTTACTGGGTCTGTTCTTTCTTGCCAAATTGCAATATTAAGTCGTTTTGTGGGTTAAACATAGACTATGGATAGAACAATTTTTTTTCTAGGAGTAAAGTCAGTGTACACACATCTTTCCAAGACCCTACTTTTTGTGGGATTTTATTGGGTTTGTGTTCTTGCTCGCCAAATTGCAATATTATGCCGTTTTGTGGGTTAAACATAGACTATGCATAGAACAACTTTTTTCCTAGGAGTAAAGTCAGTGTAACACATCTTTCCAAGACCCTACTTTTTGTGGGATTTTACTGGGTTTGCTGTTTTTGCTTGCCAAATTGCAATATTATGCCGTTTTGTGGGTTAAACACAGGACGACTTGTTTTTCCAGGCCTAAAATATTTTCCAAAACTACCCAGTTTTCCTGCTTGCAAGGAGCTTAAAAGCAATGAAAAAACAATAGTATTGCGCCACAAACCTCTCTGCGCTTAAAATCAATCCCGGTGACAGGGTTGATGGATTTAGCCTTCAGCCGTTCATAGCTAAATATAGTCTGACCACATTCACTCTTGTCCTCCTGTTCTTGCTCTGGTTTCGGTTTGGATTCAACCCAATCAATTCCGACGGCAGAATCAGCAACCTCTGTTTCCTTGACTTCAGGAGATTCTTTGAAATCTTCACCTGCGCCAAAAAACTTCCATTGTCAGTGACTAACACTTAATTCTAAAACATGTTATGCAAAGACAATCTAGCATTTCTTGGCATGGTAGAAATATATAATTAGTAATGTTAAGGGTATGTTTGCATCCCGAAAAATGATAGGGAAAGGGGGGGAAATGCCAACTACTTTCTTATGTTTGGCTTTACCTTATAAAGTGCAAGGAATTGTAAAATACACTCCATTACTAACTTGTTTTTGAAGTTTCAACATTTGTTTAGACCAAAATTTTGTAGAGTATAACATACATTTGAGCCAGCTTTCTCCCCTATTTACCTCCCTGTTTTTTTCCTTTGTATTTTCCGAATGAGAGCAAGAAAAACAGAAAATTGCAAAGAAAAAGAATAATGTAGCAAGATAGCAGTGGTACTTGTTTCTTGTGGTGGACTTTTAACTACACGTGATGGATGGGCCTCGGTTGGTTGCTTTTCAGCAGTGAGGACAGAAGACAGAGCAGCTATAGCAGCAGCCCTTTGAGATCCCTGACTTATTGCTACTGGTTTTGAGGACGAAATAGGTTTTGTTGAGGAAGATGAACTGAATGCAGAATTCAAAGCAGCCAAGGCTGAAGCTCTTTGAGTTGCTCCTCCCTGATTTGCCCCATTGGATCTTGCCTGATTCTGAAAAAATTAAAACAAAATGATTGGGAGTTTCATATACATATAAATATAAATATATACATTGCACGTGCATACAAACTTAAACTATGTCCCTTTTTCCCAAATTCACATCTTATTCGATACCCCTCCATTTCAAATTACAAGGCCCGTTTCCTTTTAACGCAGTTTATTAATGAAAGCAAGTACATAGTAAGCCAGGTAAAATTAGATAGATGAAGTAAAATGATGTCACTTTTCAAAATTGTCCATCAAACAGGGTCTCAAATATTAATATCAGCCTCTCACAAAAATGTGGATATATTTATAAATGTCATATGAGTAATTAAGCAGCAAGCACATATCAACTTGGCAATTACCGATGTGGCATGACCTGCACCGAATAATAGCATGACCTTCTTCTGGAACGAGTTTCCATGTACCTGGTTATATGATGAATAGAGAATCATTCAAGAAACATTATAATTAAAGAAAATCAGGCATGCATGCCTCATAATTAAGGGCCCATTTGGTAAGGGTTATTTGGCTGAAATAGATGAATTTGCTAAATTTTCCATAGGGAAGGCGCTTCATAACATCTATTTCAGTTAAATTAGGTTTTTTATTCGTAAATTGCTTGTTTCTTTGTTATTTTTCTGGCCTGATAATGATACCAAATGGAGCCTAAGATATGATAAGACGGACAGACACATTTTCGGAAAATATTACTCAAGCATTAACATATGCTAAAAAGTGAAAGTTTTAAACATACGCTAGCTTTTGCAGGATCCCAAGAAAAGAACGTAGTGAAGAAGGAAGGCTCATTTCCTTCTGTGAGTTTATACAATGGAACATGAGGTGATAACCCCTCCAAAGATGCAGCCATCTCAGTGTATTTCTGCAATTACATCCATTGCTTATTTTAAAGAAAACTAAATAGGAAATGAATACTTTCAAAAAATGTCGATAAGAAGTAAAAACTAATAGAGTACCTGACCAACTTCAAAAGCATTTTGTTTCTCATTCGGGTCCGTTGACTGACCGACCCAAACAAACACTTCAGCATGCGTGTCTAGTATCAATATGTCCTCAGTCAACAGATCATCTTGGGAGAAGTTGTACACTTCTTCAACCTAACTCAGTAGTTAAAGGGGGGAGAGAGAGAGATGATTGGTATAGCAGCACTATTAATGCATGGAAAGAATTCACAATGAACCAAGCACCAGAAAATACCTCAAGTTTTCCTGAGTATCCAGGTGAAAGCAAAGTGTTGGAAAAAGATATAAAATCGTTAGATTAGTAACATAATTATTCTTGAAAAGACTAATAGAATGATAAATAGATAAATAAGTAAATAAATAAATGACAAGCATATAAAAGTTTGTACCTTTGTTCATAGAATATGTAAACAAATGGGGATCACGGACCACTTCTGTTGGCACTTTCTTGTTTGTGTAACTTTGTTTCCCTCCTAGAGCAAACCAGAAAGCCGAGCTCTCAGTTCCTTCTTTATTATGCTTCAATGCTACTCCTGGCTGATTATAGGGTTGAAATAAAACTGTACTAAATCAGTCATATCACAGTAGAAAGAAACACATACAGCTACGATAGAATGTTGAAGGGATTGCCAATTTCATGTGAATACACTCATATATGGGTATACTGTATACCCCTAAATTCAAAGACTTGCGCATACTCAAAAAATTAGTGGGATTTTCTTTTTTGAGTTAATAATTTGGAAAATAATAAGTGAAAGAGACATAGACGAAAGCATATTTTACTGCACAGAACCCTTCAAGGAAAGGTTTACCTTCAAGAAGTCAGCAATCTTAGTAGCCAACTGTTGTTGCTCATGTGTGCTCTGGTTTCCATGCCAAGTGAACATTGAAGAACCAGATTGAGCAAGAAAACATTCATTTGAGTTCAATGAAGTTGCCACCTGATAATACAAAATTTACATCTATATTCAATTCATTGTGCCCTGTAAACAGTTATTAATTATATTGTGGAATTTGCTGTCATAACATTAGTGTTCCTCATAGAGCTAATCTATTGACAAGCACCAAAGAGAGAAAGACCATTGAATCAAAGCTGGATCCACATGTCAAAATCCTAATAATTTCTTCAAGTTAAAAGAGAAAGTGTGAAATTGAACTTCAACCCTGGGATTATTCGGAATAAGAACTGTTATGCAGAAACATCGAACAGTATTTACATAAGAAAAGAATCATTGCCAAGTGCCAAAATGGTTTTCAAAGGCATTTGAGGCAGTGAGGCTTAAAGGCAATGTGTCCCACGGCCTCTTGGTAAAGGAAAACTCATTGACATGCAATAGACTTGAAGTTAGACGAATGAACTGACTCAACAAGCAGAAGAGATGGGCCTGAATGATATGAGTGTGACTACAATGATATGCTGGAACACAGCAAGCAGTTCAAATGGAAAATTAGTTGTCAATAAGTGCATACCGCATCAACATGAATGGCTTTATTATTATGCACAGAAGTCCCAGATATTTGGATAAGAGCAACTGAATCAGCCGTGTAAGTTTCATCATTTAGACCTTTATCTGCAATATAGTTCTTGTATCCAGAGCTTAGTCCACCCTGATAAAGAATATTTACGGTTTAGATGTATTCTTCTACATTCCAGATTCACCAGTAAATAGATTGCAGATTTGTAGTGTACCTTAAGGATCACCAAGGGCTGGAAGATGGCAACAAACTGTGGTGGCTCTTTCCCTTGAAATATACGACCCTACATAAAATCTCACACCAAGTTCAACATAAAGATATCATATATCTCAGTGGCCAAAAAGAGAAAACAAATATACCAACCAGTACAGGTCTTCCTTTCAGTGAATTGCACATTGAGGTAGCCAACTTAGAAGCCATCTTTTGGTCCTCCTGGATTCATTAAACTGAACTTTTACAAACTGAAACCACCTCATAGCCAATCAATCACACACGAAGATAGAAAAAACAAGAAATATCACATTAATCAAGTATATAGCTGAAAAATTAGGATACATAATTTTCATTTCCACTAAGCAATTACTCCCCCTGTTCTCTACATGTCATATTACTGTTTGAAAGTGAAACTGTGAAACTAACTCTACTTTGTTCACTTATTTTATTTAAGATGTTCCAATGATATTAGTAATTAGCTAATATTAAAATAATTAATACTTATAATAAATTGAAATGAATCAGGGTGAATCAGCCCTCATTAACCTAACTAGGTGCATATAAGGGAATGGTTAAACTATGTGCTTCACCTAAATTTTAAGCTGTGACTCCTGTGAGTTATAATGCACCAATGGAACAAAGGGCATTATAAGTTAATTGTTACATGATTTCTTCCATGTTATTTGAGTTAAAGTGAAACGCATAGTTCAAAAAAATAGAGGAAAAAACATACAAATCAACTGCTTCAAATAAAATTGCTGATTTTTTAACAGAGACACATATACCTCAACACTATCCTTTCCAATCCACCAGCACAGGTAATAATCTTCTTTCTTGTCATGAGAGTTATAGGTGTATAAAACTACATAGCAATCTCCACTGTAGAATTTACCAATATCAACTTTGGGAACCGGAGTCTTAGCACGGTCATTAATGCACCAAACCTGATACAGAGGGTGCAAAATTCATATTTGCTTGGGCAGATGAAGAACTCAGAAATCAGCAGTATACAGCAGAAAAGAGTAATGCATACCTCTACTTTTCCTACTTCTAGCAAAGGGGGTACTTCCTCATTCACAGGGACACTTTTGTTTGCCCCTTTGACCCCTATGCCTTGTTGCTTGAGCAAAGCTACAAGGGCAAAGAGATGATTAGCTTGTAGTCGCACACACATACAAACACACGATTCAGCATTCGATGTCACACTTTACCATACCTGCAACCTTTCCTTTTCCTTCCTCAGGAGCAGGTGCCAAACCAGATGGCCATGAATCAAACTTGGACTTGAAAGAATGAGTCTCATAACCTTGAATAAGTCGAGTAATACGTGTCGACTTGGGCCTATTTTGAGAGGCAACAAAATCCTGAGGATACAATTCAGTATAATGGAATCAGAATCTCCACGACATTAAGTAACATGGACATAAAAATGATAAAATTAACTATGACATGCATAAACAGACTTTCTACCTCTGCTGTTTGAATAGCAGATTTCCTCTCATTCACTTGTGTTACACGTCCCACCCAAACAAATACCTCATCACCACAATCTAATAAATAACATAGGTGATTTTCCAAACAAGACTTTGAAAGTTCGCCCTCCACTTGATTAGCTTGACCATCACTTATGCTGCAAAAGGAGCACAGTAGCATCTTATTGGTGATTGAACACATCACTTAAAATCAGTATATCCTGTGGTAGGAGCTTTAAACATAAAACATAGCAAGAAAAAACTCAAGACCAAGATTGTGGGGGATATAAAACATGCTTGTGAGAGAACACATTTATTGCAACATTCAGAGAAACAAAAAAAATACTCCCTCTGTCCCAATTTATTTTTCCAATTGGGAAGAATGTGTTAAATCTCATCTCTTTCAAAATGATTTTATTTACAAATTAGTATAGAAACTAAAAAAAGTATAAGTTACACTGTTCAAAACTACATAAAGGGCGTGTTTGGTTTTTGGCATTTAGGATGGCTTTTGTCTGTTTTGACCAATTTTAGTGGATTTGACTGGTCAAACAGCCAAAAAGGGTGTTTGATAGTTGGCTGCAAGGGTTGGCTTGGCTGTGTGAGTCTGAAAAGCCAAAATTTAAAAAGCTACGAGGAGTAGCATTGCGGTTGGCTGTTGGAAAATAATTTTTTTTATTATTTGTTATTGCATGTGATTTTTATGAATAAATAAAAAAATTAATCATTTAAAAAGTAATTAAAGAAAAAACCGATAAATAATTAATTAATTAATTAATTAATAAATAAATAAATATATATATAAAATTAATAAATAAATAAATAAATCAATTAATAACTAAATAAATAAGTAAATAATATATAAATAAATAAATAGTAAATAAATAAATAGTCCTTCCCCATGTAAAATTCATGACGCGATTTGCGAAAAAAAAATACTTTTTTCTGATTTTTTTTTTTAGATTTAGGTGTAGAAGTAAACAAAATACATATTTAAGAACTACATCAAAAAAAATTTGAAACAAAATCTGACACTCCGTATACTTATAATATTCTATCAATTGATCGATAAAAATACATAAATAAATAAAATTATAATGACTTAAGAACAATATATAGCTTAAAATTTTATTTGAGGAAAGAAAGAATATATATTGCAAAGCATGTTATACCACATAATTATATAGGTGAAAATTTCATGAAATTAAATTTAATTTAATTTATAAAAGCTATTTTGAAGAAGCTAAAATTGCCAAACATTTTTTATCAACAGCCAATATAATCGATTGGTCAAAGCAGCCAACTCAACCATCCGTTCAAACCAGCCAACACGAACAGCCAACAGCTAAATTCCAAACAGCGCCAAAAAATTCTACAAAACAAGAGGTGACAAGGATTTTTTAGTTTACCAGATTATTTATGAAAACATGCATACAAAACATTAGTTATCGAGAGGCTCTAATAGTAACTGGTACAGAAAGAGATAAAGGGGGAGAGATAGAGAGCATCGAGACTGAAGCTATGAGCGACATATCAGCAAGAAATGGAGAATTCCAAATAAAGCAACTATGAACAGAATAGAATGTAAGGAAGAACCATTTTCTCCCTTCTTCATGAGTAAATTAGATAGCTCATTAAAAAATCAAAGTAACATTACTGACTTCACACGTTTTTTCATATTAAAAACAAGAACGCAAACCAGTGAATTATGAAAATCTGTATCATGTAGGCTTACTTCATGTTAGAACTCATCAATTGTGATAATTTATCATTTTAAAGGTCTAGCCAAGTAGCCATTGGCAAAAAGAGATAATGTGACTAAACTCACTAAAGATACCTAAAAAGTTTGGGAGGGGACTTCACTGGAATAATATCATCTTCAGTGGCAACCTTCTTGCTAATTGGGGCAAACCCTCCAAAAAGCACCCAAAATTCACCAGAATTTGATTCAACTTGTAGATTTCCATCATCTGGTGAGTGCATGTACAGGTTTCAGAAAGTGTGGAGATTATATGCCTGCTATAGTTGCTGGGGAATAAATAAAGTTTGTGTATTGCTACTGATACTAAGAGCTTACCGACAATAGCAACATCACACTTTCCCTCATGATACTTTTCTTTCAAAAACTGAATCACTTCTAACGCTTTGGCCCTCTCCTGGATATTAGAGTTTGCACCATTGAACTGATATATCTTATCTTTAGTATCCAGAATGAACACATCGTCGTGGTTGAGTGATGAGCGGGAAAATGGGACCTGGTAAAGTCTAAATGAGATTACATACAATTGTCACGGAGCAGAAATAGACACATTAGTAAGACCTTACTTTTCTGGATATGCTCCAATACCTGTTTCAACCTGACAACCCTTTTTCCTTTACAAATATATAAGCGTGTTTCAAAATTTTCTTCCTCCACCATCTTAAACCCAGATGCAATCCCACCTTCCAGTGGTATAATGCAGGGCTTGAAGTACGATAAGAATCTATCAGTTTCATGACCTTGGATTTCTCTGTGCTGTACTGCTCGCCCACCAAGAATTGCATCGAGTTCTACAGTTTTAATTGCAGCTGTTCCAGCTTCATCCTAATTCATGGTCATGCAGTTTAAGACAACGAAAAGCATAATATATGATGCAATATTTGATAAACATGAAGAAAATAAAAGACATGCCTGGCTCGTATCTTTTCCAAGCCAGAAATGTATGTCATACAAATAGGCCCCACCTTTACCAGGAGATGTCTGCAATTAAAATGGCAACCACGAGAATCAAATTATTACCAAATTATTTATATTAATGAGACTAAAAGCTAGATTTCAGAAGCATAGAGATAAAAAAACCAGTACGTACCTGCAAGATGATGTAAGAGTCCCCTGAATAGAATTTTCCGTAATCAGATTTAGGTAAAGGAACTGGTTGGAAATTTTCAATTCTCCAAATCTCAGTCCCACTAGATGAAGGTAAGTTGTTAAAGATAACATTGCTGAAGATGTCTATTGTCTGGTAAGTTCCATCCACATATAAATGTGAGTGGGGGTACACACACACACACATATACTCCGAGTGTGTGTGTGTGTGTGTGTGTGTGTGTATATATATATATATTTATTTATTTATTTATTTATTTATATTTATTTATATGCACATATACATAAACACACACCCAAATGTGTGTGTGTGCGTGCGCGTGCAATCTCAATTTTACCATTTCTCGCTGTGATTTCTAAAAACTTAACTGATTTTTTAAGTTGCTATTGCAGAAAGGATACACTTTTTGGCCTGCTCCCTGAAATGCAGGTTCCAACTCTTTCACGGAGCTTGACATTGTATAAACTCTTCAAATGACAGGTTCTTCAGAACAACGCTATACCTTGGGGGCTCCTATCTTCAGCTATCACAGTTTCCCCAAAGATAGAGGCAATAATTGCTGCAAAGACAATGATAGGGCATGAAAGTTAGGGAATGAAAGACTGGCAGGGGGGCTATGATTGCAATTGCAGAAAACTAGAACCTATAGCACTTCTCTTAGTGGACTGAACAAAGTACCATTCAGCCATTGGTAACATGAAGAAATCAATATGTTTGAAGCCGGACAAAGGAACCAATTCGAAAAGATTAAATTTAGAAGCAAAGGAAGCATGTAAAGTTTAAGGCAATGAGCATGTCTTGCATAAATTCTTACTGGTATTATTTTCAAAATTGTCTGAGATGAAAACACAAATGGCCATAGCATTAAATTCAAACAACGCACAAGGTGACAAGCGCATCAAACAATCACAATGCATGGAGGCTAAGTTTCTACTCCCTCCATCCCAAATTAATAATCCACATTTGGTTCAGCACACATTTTAAGAAAAGTGAACTTGTGTGGTTGAAAGTGATGCATAGGGGAGAAAAAAATATGACCCGCACAAACTTTTCCAAAAGTGGAAAGAGGACTATTTTTTGGGACGTCCCAAAAAGGAAATGACACGAAAAAGGAAAGGATAACAAATTGGACACCATCAATACCATAACTAAGTCTTTCTTTGCCATTTCCAACAATCACGACCATTCTTACACACAAAAAACCCTGTTTCATCAATCTCTCTTATTACAATCTCTTTTGAGTCTGTTATAGTTACAGGTAAATGGAGGTTGACCTCCAATATAGTCCAAACATTCAAACGCATATACTACGAATTATACTGCAGCACAAGATAAACAAACTGCAAGTGGAAATACAAAAGCTGGCGGTGTCACTAACACAGCAAGATTAGCTAAATATGGGCAAGATCTTTTGTTTCTGCAAAAGTATCCAACCTCTAACAACCAAAACTATGCCACTGCAATCTAAGGCCAATCTAATGCATTTATTTGCTCAGCTAATGCATAATCTTTAAAAATAAACATAAAAAAGGAATTTCAACCTTTTACAGAGATTAACTATGGCCAGCTATAAGGGCATCAGCTAACCCACTAATAAACAGATCAAAGAGACTTCCGATCTAATACCACAACTGCTTAACCAAATTCAATTTTCCATGAAATTAAAGAGAGGAAAACAAAAACACATTTGATTAACGCAGGAGCGAGATTAAAGTTAATCACACTCAAATTGGAAAGTAAACACCGGAAAACCGTCGGGAAGCCAAAACTAAGAACCATACGAATTCCGATCACAGGTCTACGCAGAGATCCAAACGGGGGTCAATCGGCGCACCTCCAAATATTTCCCGTGAGAGCTCGGAAAAAAACTGGCGATGGTGATCAAAACTAGCGGTTGTAGAGATAAAAAGAAGGGAGGGGAGATCAGAGCAGAGCCGGCAAAGAAAAGAGAGAAGTGAGCTGACAATATAACCTCTCCTCTTCTCTCTCGGCCGGAGCTTTTTGAGGCTTTTGAGAATTGGGCGCAGAAATGTTGGTACTTCTTTTTCAGACAGAAGAAAGTGCGTGCGGATATGGAGCGCGATAAAGGAGGCGCATATGCTCTGTGACCTGCATATATGTATATACTTCTAGTGAGAGAGAGGGGGGGGATTCGGAGGAAGAAGATGGCGAAAAATAATTTTGGATTAAATATGGCAACCGGCCAATTGTAGATTTTTCGTTGCAGGAAATGATTGAGCAAAAATGCGAAATCAGTTCCAACATCCAATCAATCAAACCACAAATGTTACTCCAAATTCAACTCAAAGTTCGTTTTTTATCAATACTACTCCGTATATTTGTTGAAATATCTTCACTAAAAAACACTAAATAATATTTACGGAGTAAATTGTTTTATTTTCTAAATAGCATTTAATAATGTCTAGTGATGTCGAACATTTACTTGAATAATGATTAATGGATAACGATTAAAAATGCTACGTTGGGAAAAAAACACATGTGATGCTATTTAGGGAAACTCATTGTGCTTCAGTGTTATTTAAGTAAATTCCCTTATTTATTTTTTTCATTCCAAAATAAATTAGTATATTCTTTTAGTATTCCCCATAATGTTCATTATGAAATATCTTCATTCTGAAATAATGTATTGTTCTTTCTGAAATATTTTTTAATTATATATTTGTGATGACCAAACAGATGGTACATTCGATTGTACCATGTAATTTGCACCATCTTTCCCATTTTTTTTATTTTACTTGTCTGTTCGTCTCATATCTTTCTTTTTCTTTCCGCAATATATATCATACAATCAGTTCTACTGTATTTCTTGTATATATGTGGTGAGTACTCATATACGAGTAATTGAATACTCATTTTTTAGTAATTGAACATTCACTTTTTAAAATTTTGAGTATTCTCAATAGTGAATATTCATGTAGATGTACGGGAAAAACCGTATATCCAGATGTATGATATACGTACTCTCTTTTTCCTTATTTGGAAAATAAATGACACCCAATTGACTATTTTGTCTTTATCCCACCAGCAACTTTATTCCTTTCACTCACCAAGGGCCGCCTGTTTGGAAATATCGTTCGCGTTTTGGATAAAAATTTTATTATTTTGAAAACGCGCGCTGCCCGTAGATAATTTTTTCAAAACCCTAACGCTATTTCCAAACAGACTCCAAGTCAATGGTCAAATTGGGAAGTAAACATTTTTCATGATGTACAAGTTGTGACACCATGTTGAGGTACACCTAGCACAGCTAAACATAAAATCAAAAGTTACTCTGTTTCTTTTCCTTATAACCCAGGTGTTACACTTTCTTAGGGGTTGTTTGTTTCAGCCTCTTAATGGTTCAGATGTCCAGCACTTAATGATTCAGACTGTTTGTTTCAGCCTCTTAATGGTTCAGATGTCTGAATGGTTAAGAGATTTGCCTCTGAATGGTTAGGTATTATACAGAGTCTGAATGGTTAAGACCTCTTATCTGAATTGATCAGACATTTGCCTTTGAATAGTTAAAGCAATATACTAGCTCTTAATGGTTCAGACCTCTTACTGGTTCAGCACTTAATGGTTCAGACCTCTTATTGGTTCAGCACTTACCTATTCAGAAGTTGCCAAACAGCCCCTTATTCTTGGAGCCTGGCTTGCCCCTAGTCATACTCAAATTAAAAGTTGAAACTCTCAAGGTCGAAGCAAAGTAACCTTTAATGTTAAAAACATCAAAATATGAAAATTATGATCGAATTAGAATTGGCTAATTACTACTCCTTATATTAGCATATTTCAGAAAACTAATTATTCTATTGGCTCATTATTATATACAACTGTACAAACATGCTCGGAATCATTCCGCATGTGGTAAGCATTTTTTTCACAATACTAAAATCAAATTGCAATAAAAAGTTTGAATTTAATTGATTAGCTAAATTAACTCAAATGTTTATTAACACATCTTCCTCTAAAATAACGCATTGCTCTCTTTTTTTTTGTTTTCTAATTTGGGATATTCTAACACACCAACCTCATCAAAATCAAACTAAAAAGTTTAAATATACGGAATAACTGATTAGCTAAATTAACTCAAAAAATTACGATAGGTTCTACGGTAGGCCTAAGATCCACATGGACCTTTTCACATATATATATTTTTATTTTAAAAATGCTTATTTTAATACTTGATACATGCTTATTTAGCTAGCATATATGAAGGTCTACCATATACCTTAAATTCATACAATAATTTGCCAAACCAGTCCAGACCAGTCCTTTGGACCGCAATCTGCTTTGAACCACAAAAAATCGTTGTGATCAATTTTTTGATATATCTTCAAATGTACCCATATGTAAGTAAAAGTTTCCTCATTTCCTTTTTATTTCTAAGTAAGTTTCTATTTCTAAATAAGTTTCTAGGACTTACTCCCTCCGTCCTCTTATATTTGTCCACATTTGACTTTTGGAACTGTTCATCTAAGCACTTTGACCCATCAAATTCTATTAATGTGTAAGCCTAAATATAGTCATGTGTGATCTTGTTTGATTTGTCTTAACATATAGATTATTAATATATAATTTTTATAATTTTTTAATATACAAATTACAAGATAAAATGGATTAAAGAAGTGCATTGGATGGTGTGCAAAAATGAAAGTGGACAAATCATAGTCACATAAATCGCGGTACGCTTCGGTACGGGTACGCGGTACGGGTACGAAATTCGCTAGATGTAACGAATTCGGTACGAAGGGGGGTAGGTTCATTTCGGTACGAAGTGGTACGAAGCGGTACGGTGTACCATGTATTCGGTTCGGTGTACCAAAAGTTAAAGCATAAGTAAACAAAAATAGATAAGATGAGCATAAGTGCATAACATTACAAAATCCAATTGAAAAACAAGACATCATCTAAAAATTACTGGATATTGAGGACTTTAGATTGGGTTGTGGTTACTGGTTAGACTTGAGAGACGCACACATATATATATTTGGAGACTGCCTAGGAAAAAACGAAACATTAAAGGGAGAAGTCAGAGAACAATCGAGAAAGGCACGGAGACTATGAACGACTCGCACGGAACTTGGGGAAGTGCAATCGCGAATTGACCTTTTCAATTTACGGAGAAAACAATCGCTTGGAAGAGGGAAGGTCGCGGGAGAGACGAAATTGCGATTTGGATCGCTGGACCGCCGGCGATTGGTACTCCGTATTATCCAACTTGGTGCGACGTTCTAGGGCATCTGGATCGCCGGCGAATTGCGAATTGGAGCGCCGTACCACACCGAATTGGATCGCCGTACCGGTGGCGATCAGTTTGCCGGCGACTTGCGATCCGGTACGATTCGTACCAATTCGGAAATCGCGGCTAGGTAAGCGAATTCTGTAACTATGGGACAAATACAGGGGGACGGAGGGAGTACTACACAATCTTTCACCCTTTTCTACACCTCTGAAGAATTTTACATCAACATTAATGTTAGATTCCCATAATAACCCCCCTTTATTCCCATAATAACCCCCCTTTAAAGTGTGGCAATTTAGGAAAGGGAAGGGAATATGGGGCACCTTCATTCATGAGATGGTACACAATTGAGTGGGGAGCCAGCAAAGAGGGCTTTACACTTTAGAGGGCATGTTTTTTTCTTTTTATTAATTGCCCAAAAAGGGTTTAGATAAAAGCAAAGTTTGGGGCCTGACAGCAACGGCACGCCACAACCAACTTCAATTCAATAAGAGAAACCAAAGACCCTACTCTACCTTTTTTAATCAACAAGTGGATTTAAAAAAAAAAAGTAGATGAGCCTCGTCCCCGATAACATTAAAATCAGATCAGACCAAAGCAGAAACAACTTTAAATACAACTGCAATCAGAAACCAGATCAGATCATAAATTATTCTATTTAGATTAGAACTAATCAGATCAGGGGAAGAGAACATAGTCAACATATCCTAATTCAGTGTCTAGATTGCGAGACACTAAAGTCTTGATATTGGAGTGTGAAGTATGGAATCATTTCTAGTTTTAAATGAACTCTAGAGTCGGATAAATGAAATCTATAGCACGGAGACTCAAAACTCGAGTATGGATAACTAGAATTAAGAAATGGTGAAGTCCTCTAAACTTGCAGTTTACCAGGCTATTATTATATACGAGTGCGGGATTTACAAGTCCACCCGATAGTAAAAAAAAAGCACGACAATGATATCAATTTGTTTCAATGCATTGCAATTGAAAATCGAATGCACACAAGGGGTGGGGTGGCTATGGTTTGCAATTTCAAAAAGAACCATTTCAGGTGATTCTGAAAATCACCAGAATTGGGTGTTAATCTTGAGGTAAGCTAATTCTGGCACTACCATTGAGGGGTGATTTCCAAGATCTCACTTTGACCGAAATACAAACAAAACAGATAGAAAGTAAGATTGTGATGCTAAAACCAGCAAAATCACCCCACAAATGCAAACCAAATGCACCCAAATTCTCACATAAAATGGTTGCATGTTTGTCAGATAAACTTGTCAAATATCAGATATGGAGTGCAATTTAGCGTTGAATATTGCACTGGAAGAACAATTTCTTTCAGTTGATACACATAATGTACATTTGTTCAGTCTATAATTAGAACATTAATCAAACTACTGTCAACAAATTTTAGATTTAAAGGAATGACTATTAGCTAATAATTGCACAAATTTCTTTTACAGTATCTTATGTTTTTTTGGCCAATTTAGGTCGTTGATTCATAGGCCTCAAATACGTAGTCTGAAATCTAACCATAGCCCTTAGAGCCTCAAGAAGTTTTGCTTCAACCTCATCTCCATCAGGGTCAATAACCCGTAAACACCGAGCTACAGCCTCCAATGTACTCACACACCCACTAAACGGTTCCTTTCTGAGAATTAAATCAGAATCGAAAATTGTCCCGCCATTGATGCTAGTATTGTAACTTAAATAAACCTGGACTGCAAACTTTGACAAGAACTCTAAACTACCATGCATCATCTCCTTGGCGTGCTTCCAAGTTCCATCAAGGGCGATCAAGACATAGTTGGTTTTATCAAAATCTTTTGTTGATGATTTCCACTTGTCAATCTCCACTGATTTTGATGTTTCTGTGCCTGAAAAAATCAGGGAAAGGTTTCCTTTTTTTCGTCTGGTTCTTACTTGATAGAATGTTATGAAAGTTGAAAGTTTTATTAATCATTACACAATGAAGTATAGATTACCAAATAAATAGCTATGTAAATTGAAGCTGTAAAGGAGATGCTTACTATGGAACATATACCACTCCTTGAATTTTAGTTTAGAGGCAATTTTTAAATTTAAATAAGCAGAACAGGCCCTAAAAGATAACAACCACTAAATAGAGATTTTGTGCCCTTAATTCTGACTTCATGATTCATTATACACTGATGATATGATTTCTTTCTATTGAAACTTCAGTTCCATTCTAAAAGAGTATATGTCAAAAATGGACCTTTATACTTAATGATACTCCACATTTAGTCAACTACTTAGTCCTCAAAGTCTTTATATTCGAGCTAACGTCCTTAAAAATTTGAAATGCTGCTATTTTTGGTAGGAGTTTTGATGTAAATGGGACTAAATTTGGCAATGGTTACAATCAAAGATTCAAAATAAATCTCCAATAAAATGTTATAAAGGAGTGGATAAAATGTGGAATATACCTAATTCCCAAATATAAAGCACTAGTTTTGAAACTTACTAATCATAAAAAGAGCTGATTGGCTTTAGCCTTAGACTTTAAGAGAAACTACAGAAAGAGAGCATTTAGCTTTAGCTTTTAGGCCCTCCGTTATAGGGCGTGCCCCCAAGGCGTTACCAACTCTCACGCAGCTCTCACGCCCTCCTTTCCCCTGCCGTACTCCGCGTGAAAGGGTGTTGCCCCTTTGGCTGTGATAGCCATTCCGGCATGGTGGCTTGCTGCCTTGCTCCCACTTTTATTTTATTTTTTTCAACAAATCAAAATTTTACACATATTTATCCCAACCAATCAAAATAATTCAAATCTTCATCCCATCACTTTTCGGTCATGCCTCTTTTCAAGCCTCACAACACATATCATTTTACTCACACCCAATCGCTTACAGGGAACCTATATGGCACTTCATCAAGCCCCGTCAAGCCGTCATAACAATTTACAGATATTGTTCCCAAACGGGTCCTTTATTTAGTAAAGCTAGAAAAGATTTGTTTATTGCAATGCCTACCAGGAAAGAGAAAAACAGCTCTGCTGGGCCGATTAGGGTTTGCAACTGCGTCGTCATGAAGATCATCGAGGACCTTCGAATCGCCATATCTCAGTCGCCGTCCGACGATGACCTCGCAATTCCCGATGCACTTCGACAGGACGGGAACGGTTGCGAGCTTGTGGCGGCGCTCGTGAGGGTGCTGGAGGACCACAACTCGGGTATAGATCGGAATCGGTTCGGGTGGGATTGCAGCGCATAAGCATACGCTTGCTGGCCTGTCGCATTTCGTGCATTTCCTTCGCCCTGCTTCTTGGCACTTCCCGGCGGCTGCGACGCCGGTGCCGGGCGTGCAAATTTCGGGAGACATTGTGGAAGACTGGAAGTAGAGAATGAAGGGTGCTGACAATAGTCACAAACTCAAATAAAAAAATGTACCACAAATTCAAAATATATTTTATTTCAATTCATTCTCCAAAAGATGAAATCGCTCGTCCCGGGCGCCCCTCACCTCCGACCTGACGGGAATATGAGAGGAGGTAAATCACGGTGACCCAAACAACAACACTTAGCTAGATTATATCCTAGTGCGCACCAGAGACTCCCCCATTTTTCAGAGGTGGTCGCCCCACAACGGTCGCTGCCAGGTTTCGATCCTTGGTCATTCTCCAAACTTCACCAAGTGCAAGTTAAGATTTCAAACTCTAAAGAACAGACCCTAAGTTTATATACACTTCCAGAACATGGGTATAACACACTTCTGTCATGCCGCAATATAACATGTATTCACACCGCCAAAGCATGATCATTCCACACTAGCAAAAATGTGTTTAAATTGGTATAAACTCCCAAAACATTGGCATAACACACTGTCAGAAAGTATAATTAAGTATTGTGACCATAACACATTATCCAAGACATATGCATACTTTCTAGCATTGTGTTATGCTCATGTTTTGGGCATGAGTATATACCATCGTGCCACTTCCAATTTAGTTTATTAAATGTGTTAAAGCACTGGGGAGTGACACGACAATTCTATGTGTTACGTATAAGAAATGAGAATAACCCCCTAAAATTTTGGATCTCAATAAATATGGTAAATGAAATAATTAATATATTGCATCATAATAAAAGGGTATGATTGAAAGAGATCTTTTTGTCATAAATAGCCAAATATGTGAAAAATAATAAGAGGGTGTTTGGCAGTGCGCTGCTTTTAACAATTTAGCTTCTGCTTTGAGTGAAAGTAATTTTACTCTGTTTGGCATGTCAGCTTCTGCTTTTCGCCAACATTATTTTGTACATGGAACACCGTTTCGGAGAAGCAAGTATGTGGTGCTTTTGCTTTCAGCTTTTGTAGAAATCACTTTATCAATAAGCTAATCTTTCCTAAACACCATCTGAGTGTCTTCGAGTGCTACATAGGATAATTTCTAAAAGCACTACTAAAGATGCCCTTAATCTTCCAACTATAGAGTATTATGTTTGTGGTCATCTGTTTATGGTTATTTTTTCACGGATAGAGAGTATTCTATTTGTGGTCATTTGTTGGGGTGTTCACTGGGTCAAACCCGGACTGGACCGGCCCGGACCGGGACCGGATCGGGACCGAATAAGGGGCATTTGGTGGACCGAGGACCGGACCGATTAATAAGCTAGGGACCGGCCCGGGACCAGACTGCGACCGGACCGAATAAATATTAATTTTATTTTTTTTAAATTTGATTTTATGTATTTAATTGAATAAAAATATTACTACAGCTAATTTTTAATCGTAACATGCACTAAACATTGTCAAATGCAGTTGTTTTGAATTTTTTAAAACACTTTAAATAAAGTATATATCTTCCATCCGTATTACATAAAATTTGTTCGTAATTTTGATTTTACAAAAGAAATATTCTTCTTAGTGTATTTTTGCTTTTTTGTAATATTTTTTTTTGTTCGTAATTTTGATTTTACAAAAGAAATATTCTTCTTCTTAGTGTATTTTTGCTTTTTTGTAATATTTTTTTGAGTTTTTGATTTATTTTGACAAACAGATACATTTGTTACTATTTTTGTTCATGAGATTGTTAACAATGTTTGTTTTTGCGGATTAGAGTTTCATTATTAATAAAGTACAAATTTAAATTATAGTATTGGTACATAAATTTGAAAGACATTAGATCGCCAATATAAAGGTAATATTTACTTTTCACCTTTTTCATATTAAAAATATTTAGAAATCAATAGAATTGGTATCTTTTTTTGAACCGAATGCAAAATATATTCATCACCGAAGAATATAGAAGTACAAGAATCAGTATAAGTGAGCACCCTCACCGCACTATACAAAACCAAGCCTGAAATAAAATCTAGCTACTCAACTTGGTTCCCCTAGAATTCAAGAAAGTTGTAACTTAGACATATTCTCTGTTATATTAATATTGTTATGCAGTACAGAGTTCCTTGCTCTCCAAACTGCATATACACACGCTGCGTATATAGCCATAATCATCCATCTTCTTCTGCTTGGTGTAATAGTCTTTAGCCTCTCCATGACTTCTTCAATGGTCGTTCCCTCAAAGTTGTACTTACACCATATCTTTAATCCAAGATACACTGTCTGAGCATAGTTGCATCTACTGAACAAATGTTGTATATTTTCCTCCCCATCCTTGCACAAGAGACAGTATGTATCAATTGAGAAAAATTTACGAAGCTTAGCCTATCTTTACAAACCAGCCATAGAATGAATTTATGCTTTGGTATGGAGAGCCTATTCCACACTACACTGCCCCATGTTGGGATTTGTTTCTGCCCCAGCAACCACTTATACCCTATATCAGGGTTGTATTCTTCAGCATATTGCATTTCCTTAAAGCAGTCTCTTACCTTAATCAACTTTTTTCCAGTAATAGCATGCATGAATCATTTTTCAATGTGCAATCCCAAAGAGAATTCTCTTTAAGATACCTGTCATGCACCCATTTAATCCATAAGGTGTCTTCTTTCTTAACAATACTCCAGATTAATCTCATGATACAAGTTGTGTTCCATAATACAACGTTTCTGATTCCCAGGCCCCCATTATTTTTTGGTAAACATATCTCATTCCAGGCAACCAAGGGGTGTTTTTTATATTCTGGGGAGGAATTGGTATCTTATTTTGAATTGAAAATGTATTTAAAAAATTATATTAAATAATAAAATCAAAACATTTAAAAAATTTTTAGTATTAAAGTTAAATTAATTTTAAGTATAAGAAAAAACCGTAAAAAATACAATATTATAAAACTATATAGAAAAAATATTCTTTAAAAAATAAAATGTAACCGGTCCATCGGTCCAGACTGAAATCCGGTGGACCGGACCGGAACCCGAATAAGGAAAAAATGAAGACCGAAGATCGGACCGAATAAGGACCGTTCCGGACTGATCTGGTCTAGTTTCGGCCAGGTTTTGGGTCGGTCTGGGTCTGGACTGAATAATGCACACCCCTAGTCATCTATTTATAGTTCTATTTATTACTTCTGTCCATGTTAGTATTTAAACTAAAAATTAAATATATAATGTCACATTAACTTACATCAATGTTGATAGATAGTTTATCTATTGGAGTCGCCCCTTAGTTCCTGCGACCATTGTCCACAACCATTAATATGGATCGACAGCCAAAATTTAATTGGATTAAAAAACTAAGGGGCTGTTTGGCAACTTCTGAATCGGTAAGTGCTGAACCAGTAAGAGGTCTGAACCATTAAGTGCTGAATCAGTAAGAGGTCTGAACCATTAAAAGCTAGTATATTGCTTAACTATTCAGAGGCAAATGTCTGATCAATTCAGAAAAGAGGTCTTAACCATTCAGACTCTGTATAATACTTAACCATTCAGAGGCAAATATCTTAACCATTCAGACATCTAAACCATTAAGAGGCTGAAATTCAGGCATCTGAACCATTAAGAGGCTGAAACAAACCGCCCCTAAAATTTGAAACTTTAGCTGAACTCCCTGGCGGTAAAAAGACCAAATGTACCCAAACGCGCCTCTCTTCTCCGGCAACGACTACCATGCGACCACGAGCTCTCCATCTCCGATCACTATTCAACTCTACAACGAATCAGCTCACCTATTTTTCGCGTCTCTCCAAGTTTCAGTCGCCTTCTTCGCACTTTTCGTCTCAATCCAATCAACATTCTCGATATCCCCAGAAAACTTTCTTTACACCAGATATTAAAGATCCAATCATCAGAAATTTGTGCAGAGAGAAGAATTTCAAAGAAGCCATTGATATCCTCTGTCAGCAAAAGCGTTTAAAGGATGCCATTCAACTACTTGAAAGCGAAATCCAGTACCCATTTGCTTCGATATACTCTTCACTATTCAGACTCTGCATTGAGCAACGAGCCCTTGATGAGGGGAGGAAAGTGCATGCCCACTTAAAAAGGTGCAATTTTATTCCCGGGATCTTCGTATCTAATCTAATTATTGAGTTTTATTGCAAATGCAAGAGACCATCAGATGCCCGTCAAGTGTTTGATGAAATGGGTGAGAGGGATTTGTGTTCTTGGAATATATTGATTTCTGGTTATGCAAATTCTGGATTGATTGAGTATGCTCTGGGGCTGTTCGATAAAATGCCACAGAGAGATAGCTTCTCTTGGACGGCCATGATTTCAGGTTATGTTAGGCAAGACAAACCTGAAGATGCACTGGAGTTGTATCGGGCAATGCAGCGAGATGAGTGTCATAAGTGTAATAAGTTCACAGTTTCTAGTGCTCTGGCAGCTTCAGCCGCTATTCAGTCATTACGTTTGGGGAAGGAGATCCATTCTCATATCGTGCGTATGGGGTTGGATGCAGACACTGTGGTTTGGAGTGCTTTGTCTGATATGTATGGGAAATGTGGGAGTGTGGATGAAGCAAGACATATTTTTGACAGGACAACAGATAAAGATGTAGTTTCATGGACATCAATGATTGACAGGTACTTCAAGGATGGGAGATGGGATGAAGGGCTTTCATTGTTCTCGAATATGTTGTGCTCATGTGTTAGGCCCAACGAGTTTACATTTGCTGGGCTTTTGAATGCATGTTCATGTCAAACCACGGAGTATCTAGGCAAACAGATCCATGGATACATGGTGCGGCATGGATACGACATTCTTGCCTTTTCAACGAGTGCCCTTGTTCATATGTACTCCAAGTGTGGGAACATTGGAAGTGCGTACAATGTTTTTAAGCAGATTCCGAGACCTGATTTAGTTTCTTGGACTTCACTCATTAACGGTTTTGCACAGAACGGGCAACCACTTGAGGCACTTAACTATTTTGAACGTCTGTTAGAATCTGGTGCTCGTCCTGATTGCGTCACATTCATTGGTGTTCTCTCTGCTTGCACTCATGCAGGTTATCTTTTTGAGCAAAACATTCATATTCATATTTAATAATCCCGCTGTCCAAAAAAAGCATTGCCTAGTTTAACATTCATGGAGTTTAAGAAAAATGTTGAATAATGAAAAATGTATGATTGGAATTTGTCTAGATGAGAGAGAAATCTTGGGAGCCACATGTTCATTACTTTAACATGAAATAAACTACTACGTAGTTAGGAAGTTTTTTTTTTTGAGAAGTCAAGAAGTGAAATGTCACACATCGGAAGATGATGAGTTGCCTAATTGCCTTGAGTAATTGTTCCCTTAGATTTCATTAGTACAAGTCTATTTAGGATTTTAGGTGTTCAAAAACAAATTGGTTTGGACAATGGCTAAACAAACTGTGTAGTTAAGGCGGGGCTTGCGGTCCTAACAATGTATGTTTTACTTCCATGCAGGTTTAGTTGATAGGGGGCTCAAGTATTTCCACTCGATAAAGGAGCAACACAGATTAACTCACACCCAAGACCATTATGCTTGTGTTGTTGATCTATTGAGCCGTTTTGGAAGATTTAAAGAGGTTGAAGATATTATCAGTCATATGCCAATGAAGCCCGATAAATTCCTGTGGTCTTCTTTACTCGGAGGGTGCAGAATTCATGGAAACCTTGAAGTTGCAAGACAAGCGGCAGAAGCACTGTTTGAAATAGAACCCGAGAATGCAGCCACTTATGTCACCCTTGCAAACATGTACGCAAACTCTGGAAAATGGGATGACGTGGCGGAGGTTAGAAAAACCATGGACGATAGAGGAGTGGTGAAGAAACCGGGCAAGAGTTGGATCCACTTGCACGGGAAAGTCCACGTGTTTTTGGCTGGCGACAATTCTCACCCGCGTTCTAATGAAATATTCGAGTTATTGGCTGAATTTTCAAAGAAAATGAAAGAAGACGGATACGTCCCTGACACGGATATGGTGTTGCATGATGTTGAGGAAGAGCAGAAGGAGAAGAACCTGTTCTATCACAGCGAGAAGCTGGCGGTTGCATTTGGGGTTATTTCTACTCCCCCTGGAATGCCGGTCAAGGTCTTCAAGAACCTAAGGATTTGTGTGGACTGTCATAGGGCTATGAAATATATCTCAAATATCGCACAGAGAAGAATAATCATTAGGGATTCAAGTCGGTTCCACTATTTCGAGGGCGGGGCTTGTTCGTGCAGTGACTACTGGTGATTCAAAGCTTGAAAAATGACTATGACAATCATAGCTTGGGTGGGTTTAGAGTTTAGACCTGTAAAGAAGCAGGAGATGTGTGGTTTGGGACTTCATTGCAGACTTGTTTAGGGGGAAGAAGGATAGTCTGCAAATAACCATTTTTTGGTTTTGTAACATTAGAGAGCCTTTGGTGGCTCAAAGTGCTCTACTGTACTTGTGTTCTGTTTATCAACCTGAAGAAATGGAATAAATACAAGTATTTTTTTTGTACATTCGAGTGTTGGCCTCTTGGAAATCTACTTTGAGGTAAAGGTAAACTCTGCAATCCAGACCATACTTTTGTGGGATTTTAGTGGTTTTGTTGTATTTACATTTTCGAATTTTCGGGCTTATTCTTTTCATCTAGTGGGGATGTTTAGTATTGAGATTTGGCGGAATTGTGTTATGCCATGTTTAACTGGGCATCTAATAACAAAGTTAGTGTAGAGGAAGCGACAATGTGGAAGCATGTTGGTGTAGTGACAAGGAAGTCACCCCAAGCTTTTCCATTAAAAAAATTGAGGCGTGTTCTATATCATGCGCATTAGAGATATTCAAATTGACATCAAAGTTTAACATCAAGTGTTGATATTCATAAATTATGTTCCTATTTAACTTTTTTTGATCAAAGTTTGTAAACTTTGATTTTGATGTGCGGAAAAAGTATAATGAGTTATCATAGAAATGTAATATCAATAGATTCTTTTTGAAATATATTTTTGAAATATCAAATTTTTTATAAAATATATTTATTCACAAATAAAGATATTAATCATTAAAAGTACAATATTTCAGATATCAACTAACACAGTTTTATTTTTAGACGTATAGATGTTTGTACTTTAATGTCGGAGGGGTGAAGGTGGAGTGATCTAATTGTCTTTGTTTGGATGTTGATTGTTGGTTGTTGGTTGTTTGTGGCTATTGGTAGTTGACTGTTTAGTTTAGCTGGTTTGATCGAATGGATGAGTTGGCAGATCGTTAAAAATGTTTGATAACTTTAGTTTTTTAAATATAACTATTTCGATATTTAAAAATATAATATATATAAATATATCACTTTTATAAAATTCATAATAAATTAATAATGGGGTAATGTACAACCTTTTAATGATTTTTAGTCTTGATCTTCTCATTTCATTTATTTTGTTTTTAAAATTTAAAATTTAAAATTTTATTTTTAATTTTCATATCTTTTATTTTTATTTATTTACATATATTATTGAATACCTTTCAAGGAAAATGATAAAAAATTAAATTTTCAAACAGTCAAATCTAAAAGCTACTCTACTTAACTTTTCAAAATTTAGTTTTTCAGATCAAACATCTAAATGAAAAAACCATTAGCCAAATAATAGTTTTGGTTGTTCATTAGTAAGAAGAACTTAAGTATGGCCAAAAGCCATACGAATAGCTGTTTTCCAAACACAATGCTTCTCCGATGCAAGTAGACCAAAACAAAAAATTGCTGTTGAATACCATTGCTTTTGTAATAAGAATTTTCAGGTTCTATCATTTTTAAAAATATATTTAGGATATGTGAAAGCTAACTTCAGAACTTTGCGTCGATCCCTCCACCATACTCATTTTCTTTTACCGAAAGTTTCGGCTGAAATCGGGATATACGGAGTATATTCTTCAACCCTAGAAGATACAGTATTTTCTGCTCCCCTCTCTCTGCATATACTTACCAGGCGTCGACTGTGGTGGCGGTGGAGGAAAATGACGGCGAGAACGGTGGAGATAACGAAGCCCCGATCGGACAAGAGGGAGTACAAACGAATTGTGCTCCAGAACTCTCTGGAAGTCCTTCTCATCAGCGATCCTGAAACCGATAAGGTCTTCAATTTACCAAACGAATCAATTTCTAAGGCTCTCTTTTATTTTTTCTCTTTCTCTGATTTACAGTGAATTGGCTTCCACCGTTTCCCACCGATTGAGACCTGGGGGCGATTAATTCTTCTCTTCGTTTTCTAACTGCGTTGATTGGGTGCAGTGTGCCGCTTGCATGGATGTTGGGGTTGGTGCGTTTAGCGATCCAAAGGGTCTTGAAGGCCTTGCCCATTTCCTTGGTTTGTTTATCTTCTCAATCTCTCATAACTCGTATTGTGTCTATGCTTGGTGGCTCTTAATTTTAATGGAGTATATCACTATATCATAGTCTATTTCCTATTTAAAATTACATATTTGATCAAATCATCAAATGCACAAATCATTAAACCAATAGTTTATTTCGAATGCTAGTTTCATAAAAAATTGTCCCCGGTGTGTGCGTGGATGTATAATACATTGATTTTTCTTATATTGGGACGTAGCATACCGACCTATGGAGAGTATTATTCGTAACTAAGAAACTTTTGTTTATTGTACTTAGTGACATGTTGACTGCTAACTAAGCTATAGACTTAATAAAATTCAAAAGCTTTTGTGAAAAAAATAAATTTTATTGTACTTAATAAAATTTTGTGAAAAAAAGTAAAATTTTTGGGGGCGAACGAAAAGAAAAGGTTGAAATTTTTTGCGGGATGAAAATGGAAAGAATATATACCTGCATGATTAACATGTACGGAGTATAAAAATAAAAATTAGATCCTATAAAATTAGTATATACCTGCATAAAAGTTCTGAGTATTTCTTTAACATGAATCCTTGTACAGTACAACTCATGAACCCAACTATTGAAGTTTTCTCCTTCAACATTACTCTAGTAGAATCTCATATGATTCTCACAACATCCGAAAATTTGCTCTATGACCTTTTGCTTAGCCTTCCATGCTCATTTCTATTTTAATTTTTATCTTGAATTAAATGTAAAAGTTAATGACACCTACATTAAAACATTATATATTTAAAAATATTTTGTTGTTAGAAAGAGATCATGACTTACAGTACCCTTCCAGGGTTTTTTCATTTGTTTTTGGTAAATTTATAAAAGAGAGCGAACTTTATAAAAAGGTCATATTAGTAAATAAATATATTAGTAAGAGTAGTGAATGATGATGTGGTTGCCAAGAAGGATAATGAGAGCGTGTTGTGAGATAATTTTGATAGAAGACTAATTTGGGAACTATTTTTTAAAAGAAGACTATAATGGGCAAAAACTCCTTCTACGTTACAGTGTTAAGAGTTTTTATCTGTTTCCATTAGCAATACTATTAATATACAAATAATGTTGTCACTTTTTCGTGCAATCACTTTAGTTTTGTCATAGTTTTATACTCCCTCCGTCCCAAAAAGTCTTTCATGTTTACTATTACGGCCTCTCGATAACTCTTATTTGTTTGCGTGTTTTCAATAATCATTTCATAAAATAAAATGTTCTTGTCACCTCTTAATTTGTAGAATTTCTGATGTAGTTTTTAAATATAATTTTTTTATGTGTTATTTCCTTACCAATTTGCAAATAAAATCATTTCAAAATCCACGGGGTTTTGCACGTTATTCAAAGTAGGAAATTCTTTTTAGGACGGAGGGAGTAATAATTTCTATAAAAATGGATAAATTTAAAATTTATAGAGTTATTATAAGCATAGTTGTGAATGGCGCTCGCCATTCTCGCCAAAGGCGCTTATGGCTCTGTGGCGGCCTTCTGACGCCATCCTCTAGCCTGGCGAGGCGTTTTACGCCATTCTCGCCATAGGCGTCGCCATCGTCGCCAAGGGCTGTGGCGAAAGGCGTTCGCTATGTACGCCAGACCGGTCAAGGGTTTTTATTGACTTTTTTTTTTAAAAGTCCGCTGACCTGACCTGACCTATATCACTGGACGATCGAAGGACTTCATCGATTCATCTGACTCGCCTCTGCCTCTGCCCCTCGCCGTCGATCAAATTCTCCTCGCCGTTCTCGTCGCCGGACTCAGCCACATGCCCTCCTAAAGTTGTCCTCAGCCGGCGCAGATCCTCTTCCCTCTCTGCCGAGTCACTTCTTCTCAGTTTCAGAGCCGACTCCACACTTCGCAGGTCACTCAATCCTTTTTTTTGTTTGTTTTCTTATTGTTTTTTTGTGTGGCTTGGATTTGACGGATGAGGATTATGATTAAATATCTTGCTTTCTTTTTAAGTACTAAATGTTGTTTTTTGTTTTAAGTTTTACCAATAACTCATGTTTTACTTTGATAATTATGTTTGATACAAAGTTTAGACTTAAACTATATATATATATATATATATATATATATATATATTAATTTATTTATTTATATAATGTTCGCCATTTGACCGCCCGCCGCTCGCCATGCTTCTCGCCATAAAAAAGAACCTCTCGCCCGCCACTCGCCATTCACAACTATGATTATAAGATATTAAAATTTCCAAAAACAAAAGCGTACCCTTCATTATGTGTCAAGAAAAAGCTTTTTTAACTTTTAAGTAATTTTACCTGAGAATGCGATTATACTAGTTGATTAGAAAACACTTCCGATTAAATTGCTAGCGGATAGCACATCTAGCTAGCATCTAATACTTGCCAAAATCTGCACCTAGCATTTCAGCTACCTGCACCAAACACACCCTATTGGCGCTTTTGGATTATGAAAATGTTAGGGAAAAGAAAAAAGCCAATGAAATGTTATTTTCTTGTTTGGTTTTATCTTTGTTAGTGCAAAAGGAAAATAAAAATTGATCACTTTTTCCCCACATATATTTTGGCTTCTTATTGTTTAAATAATACTCCCTCCATTCCAATTTGTTTTGCATGGTTTCCTTTTTGGTATGTCCCAATCGATTGTCTATTCCCATTTATAGAAAGAATTATGTGGTATTATGGTTCATGCTGTTTCTTTCTCCGCATAAATCTCAATCACATAGTTTTTATTCTTAATCTTTGTGTCCGAGAGGGTGGCTGTATATCCCCTATACAGCTATACTTAATGGTGTCAAAGATCTAGGGCAATTCTCCATTGCGTCTTCCATTCCTTCATGTTTATCATAGTTGTTTGCCTGATGTAAGTTATGTAACATTATTATTTCCTGATTAATACTGCAGAACATATGCTGTTTTATGCAAGTGAGAAGTATCCCTTGGAAGACAGTTACTCAAAATTCATCTCTGAGGTACTTGCCTATCATTTTTTAAAATTTCTCTCATGAGATTTGGATCTTTGTTCTTCAGCCCTTTGACTGCCAGCCCATTCCATATGAAACGATACTTTTCTACTCGTCTTTCCAGTCTTGGGGTTGCTTGTTGTTTCTGTCAATCTTATTTTTTACATTGAACTTTTAGTTTCCCCCCCTGGAAATATTCAATAAAACAAGCTCCCTTAACTTCAGTTTTGTTATTGTTTAGCATGGAGGCAGTACAAATGCATTCACCTCTTCTAAGAACACAAACTACTATTTTGATGTCAACATTGACAGTTTCGAAGAAGCCTTGGACAGGTACAATTCTTTTGCTTTCATGAATTTGTCTGCGATGTTTCCTTTATTAGTAACCAGAGTCCCAGTTCAACTTTTCATTGTAACCCTTGAAGCTCTTTTGGAATTTTCACGAAGTACGTTTTCAGGTTTGCTCAGTTCTTCATTAAGCCACTAATGTCATCTGATGCTACCATGAGAGAGATTAAAGCTGTTGATTCTGGTTAGTGTTGCCATATTTTACATTTGTACCTAGATGATTTGTTCTTATGTTAGACTGCTACACATATTAACTGTTGGTTGTCATACGGCAGAACACCAAAAGAATCTACTATCTGATGCTTGGAGAATGAACCAGGTACTTAATCTTCCCTCCCCTTTATTGTTGGACATTTGGATTTCCTAACTAACACATAAGTTATGTAACTATCCAATGTAAATGTACTTTGTGAACCATGCCTTCATTAAGTTGCATTCACTAATAATGTATTGGTTTTCTTGTGAGGAAATCTAAATCTGATGCTTCTTTGAAATAATATCTTTGCAGCTTCACAAACATCTGAGTGCAGAAGATCATCCATACCATAAGTTCAGCACAGGTTCATGGTTCTAATTGTTATTTGTCTTAATTACAGTATACCCATATAATACTCTTTTTTTAACAAACCGAAGGGTTTGCATACACTGGTGGTGGTGTAAATATGAAAAGAAGCCTGATGAGTAACCCACACCTTTTATAATTGAATATATATATATATGTGTGTGTGTGTGTGTGTGTGTGTGTCTTCTACATGCCTTTCCCTTTTCTCTATTCTGTTTTCTTAAGCGTCTCATTGAGTAAACCTCACTTTGGAAATGCGAATAACTTTGTGCATAGCTGTTGGGTGTAGGTGGATGGATCTCTTAGCAATTAATTAGATATTCTAGTTTTGCAATTTTGCACCGAAGTTTAATACCATTGGTTTTTTTAATTACCAAAGGAGAAGGCAATATGCGTTAGGGTTAAACTGTCTTATTTTCACTTCTAAATTATTCATATCTATCTCAATATGTATAGCAGTAAGTATAGATGCATCTGAGTAAATGTTTATACTAAGATGCTATGATAGGAACATATTTAATGGGGATTATTTTGAGTGAGAACCATATTTCTGGATTATATGAATATTTAATTGCATGGATAATTTCCATCATCTCCGATGGAGCCAAAATTTCACCATTTTTTGGCTTTGGGGTGTGATGGAATAAATCAAATTAGATCTCTAAACTGTCTGCGCTTCTTTAATTAATGAAGTAGCAGTCGAGCAATGCAACTTTCGACGTTGAGCCGGGGGTCTCTTTGGAAACAGCCTCTCTACTTTCAAGTAGGGGCAAGGTTTGCGTACACACACCCTCCCCAGACCCTACTCTTGTGGGATTTAACTGGGTTGTTGTTGTTGTTGTTAATTGCATGGATAGTTATTAAAGCCTTGCACAATTATTAACAATTTGTTTCATTCAAGTGAAGTCGATTTTCAATGCAGTCATATTTATAAGTATTGCATTAGGTTATTCAGGAATATTGAAAATCTTTCATCTTCCCATGCACAGGAAGTTGGGATACATTGGAGGTCTGTCCAAAAGCAAGAGGCTTAGATACAAGACAAGAGCTTCTTAAGTTTTATGCAGAAAATTATTCTGCTAACATAATGCACTTAGTCATTTATTCAAAGGGTATCGGCAGCCATTTTGTCACAGAGTATTTGTTATCTTGCATTACCAAATATTTTGAGTTCTTAGTTCATCTGTATATTGCAGATAGCCTTGATAAATCTGAGAGATTAGTACAGAGTAAATTTGAAGAAATTCGAAATATTGATCGAAGTCGTATGCATTTTACTGGTCAGCCTTGCACACCAGAATATCTGCAGGTATGAAGTGCAGTAACCCTCTCTCTTTTTTTGTATTACAAGAAAATAAAGTGTATGAGGGAAAAATGACCCCCTCAACTTTTGTACAAGGTCTGCTTTCTGAAGGAAGAAGCTCTAGAAATCAATGTCTTTCTCTTGGAATTATGTTAACTACTTTGACTGCTACCTTGCAACCTTTTTGGCAATTTTAGCTAGAGAATCCATTCTCTCAATTTTTTTTGCAAATGCTACTTTTTCCTGGCGGACAGGCAACTCATTGGCTTTTATTGCATGGTGTGGTGATCTATATGGGTTCATTGAAATCTGTATGAGTCATATGTCTGCGTGCATGGATGTGATGGGATAAAGCCATTATTATATTCTTGCTTTTGTACGAATCTGAATTTTGATGTATTCACAGAGGCTTTCAAAATGAAAATTGTGTTCAATCAGATATATTAATAATTGAGGTATTGTATTTGCCTGTTATGAAATGGTATAATTTTTTTTCTTTCCCTTATCCCTTTAGATTCGTGTCAAAACTGTTCCAATCAAGCAAGGTCATAAGTTACGTATTATATGGCCTATAACGCCAGGCATACATCATTACAAGGAAGGGCCTATAAGATATCTAGGTCACTTGATTGGCCATGAGGGAGAGGGATCTTTGTTTTACGCATTGAAGAAGTTGGGTGGGTTCTCCACCTATAAAGTTTCCCATCATTATTTCAAACGGCACTCTTTCAACTTTGAGTGTAAACCATTGGAGTTCCACGTTTACAACAGGTTTTTGCTATTGTTGTGATTACAGGTTGGGCTACTAGTTTATCTGCTGGTGAATCAGACTCAACAACTGAGTTTTCCTTCTTTAAAATAGTTATTGATTTGACAGATGTGGGTCATGGTAAGTTACTCCTTGGCTTTTTCTGTGTGAGTCATATGGTAAAAGGGCTACTTGCTTTGTTTCCTCATGGGCCGGTTGGATCCCGAAAAAATACACGGAAAGAAAATAGGAAGTTAAACATAGAGGAAAAATAGAAGGAAGAAAATGTGGCGGAGAACTGAAGATAGGCTAAATAAGTTTCAATAAATTTATTCTAGATATTAGCTGATAATTTTTTTTCTTATTTGTGTATATGATATAAAGCCTTGGGAATCTAATTATATGTAAAAATATTAAATAATTAATAATGTCTCATTTTTCTTTGATTTCCAAGGTAAAACCAAAAACAAGAAAATAATTTTCTTTAACACATTTTCTTCTTTCCATATCATTTTCCAGAATGCAACCATTCTTTGTGCTCCTGAAAGTGTTCTGCAACCACTCTCTTTTCAACTATATCCAGAATTTCTTCTGTTTTTTGTGTGTTTCTTTTTAGGTGGACGGGAAGGGGGTTGGGTTTCACATTACTATGTATATTCTATCTCCTCCAATGCTGATAGAGAATAAGCTTTATTTTAGATTTGGAAAACTGATATTTAGATCCTTACAAATACTGTAGAACATTTTGAGGACATTGTGGGCTTACTATTCAAGTATATCCACCTCCTGCAACAATCCGGTCCCTGCAAGTGGATATTTGATGAGGTACACTACTTTTTGCTCTGATCTATGCCTGAGAATACCTTTAATGTTATTTGCAACCCATATCAGCCAGCAAAGAATCTTGTGGTGAAGGTTTTTTGGGTAATCTAATGTTCCCGTTTTTTTTGACAATTATACTATTATTATCTTTTTTCTCATTATATTTTCTTATATGAAGCTTTCAGCAATTTGTGAAACTGCTTTTCACAATCAAGACAAGATTCGTCCCATTGATTATGTTGTCAATGTTGCAATGGATATGGAGGTATTTGAAACAAGTGCTAGTTTGGCCCTCTTACACCGCAGTCATTATCTATTAATTTAGTATATCATTATATACTTATGATTAATTACTCTGTTATTTTGATTGACACTTTAGAAACTCTACTTTCACTTAATATCAACTTTTTTTTATCCCAAGCGCTGCTGAACAGTCATTTTTGACAATGTTTTAGCTTCAAGTAAATAATGGATTAGATCAAAATGGAAAATTAAACTCCCCTTCTTATTTTACACGACGTTTTGGGAAGTCAATGCATCAATGCATCATGGGTCTAACGGAAACATCTCAGTTAGATAGTGGTAAGGGACTATGGGCTAAGGTTGTGTACATGTTGACCTTATAGACCCTAGTGTAGTTGGGATTATATTGGATTTATTGTTGTTGTCGTTGTTGCTGCTGCTGCTGAACAGCATGGAAAGGTGAACTATTGCTGTTACTGAAGCATACATGTGACGACTAAGGAAGATATGCATCCTAACCATGTGCAGGTTTTCTGTGATGTGTGTTGGTGAACCTAATGCACATTTTACAATATAAGGATATTTCCCATTCTTAATATGCTTTTATTAAAAGAATGTGATTGCCAGAAGTATGTTCATTATTAAATGAATTATACTATATGATTCAGTGAACAATCCTTCACGTCCTTGTAGAATGGCAAAATACACTTTACTGTTTGTTTTGGCTATTTGTTTAGCCTTGTTTCGGCGGATGCAGTAAATTTTCTATGAAGCCCACTGATGTTTAAAATAGAGTGGTCTTCAGTGTCCTGCAGGCGCTACACATGCAGGAAATAAGAGGCTGTTGTGGAGCTGTTTCTTCTTCTTTGTTTGTGTATGTTAACTGCTGGTTTGACAAATCTACGTTTTGATGTTTTTGTGATGTTTTTTCAGCTCTACCCCCCAGAAGATTGGCTAGTAGGATCATCTTTGCCATCAAAGTTCAACCCAAGCATTATCCAGTCATTCTTAGATGAACTCACTCCTTTGAATGTGAGGCGAGTAAATGACTTCCCAACGAATTCATTTAAATAATTCCATTAAATTTGATATCTTTTCTTAAGAAGGCTGTAAGAGTGTAACAGAGGACAGGAAGGGCATCTAACATAATACTTTGTCACCATGCTTTTGCATGAATTTTAAATGATTTTTTATATCAGTTCTTTATAGAATTCATGCCTCCAAGTCTCCAACCCAACATAGTTTAGATTAAGGTGATGATAAGGACTTCTTTTAAACTTGATATAAAAACAGATGGAATCAAAATGTTGGTGAAGATTTACTTCAACATAGTTGCCTATTAATTTGAATTAGTGGATTTTTATCTTTTGGTTTAAAGTACGATTAATAGTTTTGATAAGAGTTTTTGAAATGAAGTCAAGAGGGATTGAGGACATGAGCAATGGGAGGAGGAAAATGTTTGTTGTCAATGGCTCATCTATACGTGGCATGGTTCTAAGTCTATAACTTATAGTTTCATTCATTGTTTCACTCAACAGAATTTTCTGGGAGTCAACCAAGTTTCAGGGGCATACTGACAAGACTGAACCTTGGTATGGAACTGCTTATTCTTTGGAGAAAATAGATGATTTGCTGATTCAGGTTTCTTTCCATTTATGTGTATCTATCATATACTGATGATTTTGAACTTTCCTTGCTGTCTAGGTTTTGGGCCATCATAAATCAAATGTCATATATTATGACTCCAACAATCTGGTTTTGTTCTTTTATTTTTCAGAAATGGATGGAACAAGCACCTGATGAAGATTTGCATCTTCCTGCCCCTAATGTTTTCATTCCAACTGATCTTTCTCTTAAGCATGCCTTAGATAAGGTGCCACAACTTTGCCAGATTTTAGTTTTTAAAATAAGTTTTAAGGTTTCCTAACTGATTGACAATCATTACAGACAAAGCTTCCAACATTGATGAGAAAATCACCATATTCAAGGTTGTGGTACAAGCCGGATACCACATTTTCTTCTCCAAAGGCATATGTTATGATCGACTTCAATTGCCCTTACAGTGGAACTTCTCCAGAGGCAGAACTTCTCACAGATGTTTTTACCCGTTTATTGATGGACTACTTGAATGAATATGGTATGCATTCTAGCATTTATAACTTTCATCATGTGTTCAGAGTTTTTGAGTTTTTGAAACGACCTTTTAGAGTAAATTTATTTGCTTCAATCTTTCAGCATATCATGCACAGGTTGCTGGTCTGCATTACAATATAAACAATACAGATAGTGGTTTCCAGGTATTAATCTGCTTTTTCTTTATATTGGTCTTTTTTAAAGATTTATATTGCCACAAAGTTAACAAGTCTGTCCCAACCACCTCTCGTAATTTAATATTGCTACCCCGCCTACCCTCCATCCCCCACCCCCACGGGCATCATATGAAGTACTCTTTTGCATGTAGACTTGGTCTTTTTGTTCATCCTCTACTTTTCTTTAGGTAACAATATTTGGATATAATCACAAATTGAGGATCTTATTGGAAGCAGTTGTCAAAAAGATTTCACAGTTTGAAGTGAAGCCTGATAGATTCTGTGTTATTAAGGTGAGAATCAGCTATTCCATTCCATTAAAGATGTGATGATCTGAAATTGTAAGAAAAATAGTTATTTTGTTGCATTTTTCATGGTGGTTTTAATTACTGGTTTATTTGAATAGTTATGCTTCCGGTCAAAATATTGCTGAATGATCTATTGCTAGTGGTGACTTTCTTGTCCTCTGGTAGGAATTGGTGACAAAGGAATATCAGAATATCAAGTTCCAACAGCCATATCAACAGGCTATGTATTACTGTTCTCTAATGCTGCATGATCAAACATGGCCTTGGAATGATGTACTTGAACTTCTACCCCACATTGAAGCAGAGCATCTCTTGAAGTTTTATCCTCTGATGCTGTCAAGGACTTTCTTAGAATGTTATGTTGCAGGTTTCTACATTTCTTGGATTTCAAGTTTTTCCCTCTTTTCCAGTTTTGTTTCAATTCACCATCCCTTTCACCGTTCTTTTACAGGAAATATTGAACCAACTGAAGCAGTGTCAATGATAGAGCATGTTGAGGATATTTTCTACAATGGGGCAAAACCTATATCTCAGGCTCTGTTTGCTTCTCAACATTTGGCTAGCAGAGTGGTTAAGCTTAACATAGGGAGAAACTACATTTACGCCAGACAAGGCTTGAATCCCAGTGATGAAAATTCCGCACTCCTTCATTACATTCAGGTGCTTACAAATAAACATGAACAGTTTAAAATATTTGTGCTCCCTCCGTTCGTAAATAAACTTCACCATCACTATTCACAAGGTCACACTATATCATTTTTCTTTACTTATTTACTTTAATCATTTGTTACAATTAATTAGTCTTGTCAATTGTCACCCCCTTTTTTTTATAGAACTTTTGATGAAGGTTTCAAATGTGGATATTTTATTTTTAAATGTTACACCAATATTTAAATAAATTGAATTGAAAATAACTTCGGTTGAACATTGTAAGCCGAAAGGTGAATTTTATTAAGGGACAAACTTTCTTTTAGTCCCATTGTTGCCTTGTTGGGAATTGTAAAGTACGGAGTAATAGTTTCACCTCAATCGCATGTTATCTATGGGTGATGATTGTTTGGGGAGCAAATCTATTTTCCCTCCTAACTCCTTGTGTTGGATTTTGAAGGGATTCATTTCCTAGTAGTATAAGGGCTTGTTTGGTGAGTGAAGCAGGGTTGATATGACATGGATTTTTAAATTTGGAAGAAAATATATGAGTTATGAAATATAAATAGAAAGTGTTTCAAGAAAAAATGATGATTGTTAGTGATAGACAGCGATGATATGCAATAGTGGGTGGCTGGCAGTTGAGGGAGATATCAAGACCCTCAGATTGATCTCTCCTAAATTTGGGAGATATTAAAAATTAAAACATTCTCATTTGGGAGGGTTGTCCAACATAGTTTAGGCTTCACCAAACATCCACAAATAGGTTCTGTTCTTTTATCTCCAAATATCAGAACCCATATCTCTTACACTCGCCAATTGGGCCCTAAATTAAACCTCAAGAGGTTGGCCATTATGCACAAGCTCTTGCACCATACATCCTTTTTGGGCCTGCTTGGTGAGTACATGAGATATGAGTTTAGGAGTGGACAGATATATTAGGACATCCTGAAAAGGGAAACTGGACAATTACATCAGGACAGAGGGAGTACAATATTTTTAAATTTATTACTATTTCCTCTCCACCCCTTGATTGAACCTTACATAATATCTCACTATCCACACCATTATTCTCCCTCTTCTCTTTTGGACATAAAAACAAGGGCCTAGGGATCTTCCAATTTTGATTCCCTCTATATGACTTATGAGGCAGTCAGAAATAACAGCCTTGTACTATGAGTTATCTGCCATGCTGGAGCTTTCCATTTTTTGTTGAGTTTATTGTGTAATATGTGAGATACAAAAATGTGCATGGTGTGATTTGAGCAGGAGTTCAGATTGGGACTCCATATATCTTCAAATCACAAAACAAAGGTACTAACAGATTTTTTTCTAGTTGACATTCATCAGGATGATTTTCTGCAGAATGTCAAGCTTCAGCTTTTTGTTCAAGAATTTTTCCAAAATGTCAAAGTAAAATTTTTCAAGAATTTTTTTGGGACTACAATTACAAATATTTGTAGACGGGGGTGGAGGGTCAGGGGTTATTTATTTTGCCTACTGAAAAGACTTGGTTTGTACTTTACGAGGGTTTATGGTAGACATTCCTTGAATATCTTAGTTTTTGTTTGAAACAAGCTATAATATTTTCCTTGTGCAGTATATCTCGTCCTGCAGTTATGTTGTATCAATTTATCAAGTGCCTTTATCAAAGATGATAGATGAGTTGCTTCGGATTGCAGGTTCATCAGGATGATTTCCTGCAGAATGTCAAACTTCAGCTTTTTGTTCTGATGGCAAAGCAACCCGTTTTCCATCAGCTTAGATCAGTTGAGCAACTTGGCTATATCACTGTGCTTTTGCACCGGTATGTACTATGCAGTACTGATTTCTTTCCAACTGAATTTCCATTAGCACTTTTATGAGTGAAGGGCGGACGAGCTGACGACAAAACAGGTGGAGTCTCAGTCTCTACTCCCATGTTTTGGAGTTCCAGAGCTCGATGCCAATTGTCTCGAGTGTGAGTCTGCGAGAGGGTAACCTCTCCTCCCAAGGACCAAATTGAGGTGATCTAGGCCTGATTTAGTATGGTATTGTAGTCTATTTTGTTGGTGATTTGTGTCGTGCCTTCGGCCTTTCTACTCTTGGTTTGGGGGACCCATTTGGTATCGGGTTAGGGCTTTTGTTTACTCATTAGTCATTCACTTCGAGTGAGGGGTTGTGTTTAGTTACTTGAGTATCCACATTGCTTGTATACTTGTTTTGAGTCTACAATAGAAGTGTGAGATATACCCTACTTCTCAAGATCCTTTTGGGGTGAGTAGGGCTGATTTAACACATCTCATTGTAGAAAACAAGGGAAAGTTGATCTATACTTCCTCTTTATGGATACCCTCTGTTGTGTGAGAGCTTTGACACTGGGCACTTTTTTTTAATTGCTGGTGTGCTTATATGTGTTAAAGAGTAATAACAACAGCAAACTCAGGAGAATCCCACACAAGTTAGGGTCTAGGAAGGGTGAGTGTGCGCAAACCTTACCCTACTTGGAAGTAGAGTCTGTTTCCAAGAGACCCCTGGCTAAAAATATTAAAGAAATGTATGGGCTTATAGGGTTTTGAGTTAGACGGGCTAATTCATTCGATTCACTTTTGATGCGCTTGATCAACACTCATTATTGCTTGATTGGGTGATTTTGACCCAATTATAAACTCTATCAAGGTATCAAAACCATGCCCATTTGGAAAGTGACAAGACATTTGGCCTTCCAAGTGGTTGGAGCTTTAGTTTCAAAGTGACGTCCAATTGATGTTATGAACTTTTGAGATTAATAAAGACCTAGTCGTATAAATACTAGAAATGTTTAAATATAAGAGATAGATGGGTTTATAATGCATTAGATTAGACTAATTATCTGATCTGATAGAATCCTTTGGTTTGTTTCGGTTGATGTCTATTTAGGTCCAACCCAATTAAGAATTTTATCACTATCCAAGTGAAGTTCTTTTTTTATTTGTTGCCAGGAACGATTTTGGTGTTCTAGGAGTACAATTTATTATTCAATCTTCATTGAAGGTATGTGCATAATATTTATAATCTCTTTTTATAATTTTTGTTGTGTAATTATTGCATGTAATGTGTTGTGCTTGGCAGGATCCCAAGCATATTGACTCAAGGGTGGAGGAGTTCCTCAAAACGTTTGAGAGTAAGCTTTATGAGATGCCAGATGATGAATTTAAGGTGAATGTTTTTAAGAACAGCTTGATGTGTTATTATGCATCATTATGTGCAAGTGTTCTTGGACATACCTCAGAGTGATTGTGAATGGTTTCTATCCTTTCAGGGGCCCTAGGCGTCAAATTAGTCAGGGGCCTTTTTAAACTTTTTTTGGCAAATTGTATGAAATATTGGTTTGTTAAATGAAACAAGATTTTTTTGGGGACAAAAAATGACTAGGAAAATGAGTTTTGTTTGCGGCAGGGGAAATGTTTTTCATAAAATCTTAGTATATCCAATGAGTTTAGTAATCCCGGTGCTTAATCGTTATGCGCTAGTTAATGTGAAACAAAGTGAGCACTGTAATTTCATATGTTTACATTTCCTGATTTCCTGACATTTTTACTGTACTTCACTGAAATCTTCTTATTGTACAGAGCAATGTCACGGCACTTATTGATATGAAGCTTGAGAAGCACAAGAATTTACGGGAGGAGTCTCGGTTTTACTGGAGGGAAATCTTTGACGGGACCCTAAAATTTGAGAGGCGGGAACAAGAGGTATGGAGGTTTTCATTATGTGTCCTGTTCTTATCAGAAGTTCACTCTTATTATATTGTGATGTCATTACTCTTTCATAAGAATGAGTTCCTCCCTCCCCCACAAAAGGGAGAAAGTTTTCCACATCAGGTCTCATGGCTAATAGGGTCTGGTCCCTCTCACTTTTGGTCTCCGACTTTTATTTATCTACTTTTAGTGCATTACTGTTCGCCTAGTGCTTTTTAGAACACCCATTTTTATGGCCTTATATAGGAACCTCTAGAGATATAGGAATAGAGTACTTGGGTAGACTCTTGAGCCTCAGTTTGTAGTTTAAGCTGGTGTGTTTTAAATTTTAATGCTTTAGTATGTAGCTTGTGCTTTTTGTACAGTGTCTAGTTGCTATAGTCGGTTTGTGTGCTTTTATCTATGCCCATACTTTGGCTCTGTTCTTTTCGGTTGAAAAAATTAACTTCCAACTTTATCCAACTCCTAGTTTCTTCTAACAATGACTTGAAAAATGTATCTTACATATAATGTCTATACAATAACATTATATATCCAAATTTATAACATAACACCTCAAACACGGTCAAAGTTGAATTCTTTTTTATATCCAAAATTAGTTTTTTTACCTATTTAATTGAGTGATTTTTAACACTTAATGTTTTATAACATTTTCCAACCCCTTTCAGTTTTTTCCTACTCTTTCCAGTTTCTTCCAACATCTAACTTTTGAATAGCCGTCATTTGTACTACTATGATTACTTTGTTCATACTTTTATATCTAAGTGTATTGTCTCTTGGAACCAACCCCTCTACTACCTAATAAGGGTACGGTCTGCAGACACACCTTTCTGACCCTACTTTTTGTGGGATTTTACTGGGTTGTTATTGTCGTTGCATCTTTTAATCCAAACATTTTGGAATTGGTCAAACAGGTTGTAGTGCTCAAGGAACTGACGAAAAAAGACCTGATTGAATTCTTCGACGAACACATAAAAAGCGGCGCTCCTCAGAAGAAGGCTTTAAGCATTAGAGTGTATGGAAGCCCTCATTCTGAGCGGTTCGAGGCAGACCAAAAAGAGCCATTGGATGAACCAAACATTGTTAGGGTCGAAGACGTGTTCAGTTTCAGACGATCTCATGAGCTATACGGTTCATTCAAAGGAGGCCTCGGTTTCATGAAATTGTAAGTGAAGACTGAAGAGCATCCTCCGGTTTCTTAACCTCATTAGGAAAGTGCTAAAGTCATTCCATCTCTCTCACCTTACCCTTTTGCCCTAATCTTCCCACGGACATCATTGAATAGTAATGAGTGTCCTGCGAGAAGACAGGGTGCCCTAAATCCGCGCCTGTTTAATTGTTGTTCTCGCGAAGAAATTATTTCAGATGCTTGCCCGCCGGAAGTTCCAGGGGCCTACACGACTCAAACAAACCACTGCTTAAGTTAATTGGCTGAAGTAGTCTTTGATTCTACTGTTAAACTGATTAAATCAAAACTGATGACTTTGGTCAAAGGGTTTTACAAAATGGATAAGTAGCCTAAACATTCCATTGCTTGTTCTTTTCTTTCGGTTTTACAGGCTCATGCTTGGGATCATCTTTTATGGTTACGTTAGCATGGTTCATCTAAATATGGTAGAGATTTATTCCTACGATAACCATAGTGCTATAAAAAATTTAAAGTGCAGAATCCTCCTAATTGTGCTACTCCCTCCGTCCGTTTTGACTTTGGAGCATAAATAGAGTTAACTTTCTGAAATTGCTATTACTTTTTAGGAGGGGTGACGATGAATGAGAAGATACGGTAGAAAAAAGTGACTTATTTTAGGGTAGTTTAGGTATTTTTTTCTTAAAAGTTAATAATAACAAGAAATCAGCAACTTATTTTGGGACAAAAAAAGGAAAACAGATAATTTAAAATGGGACGTAGGGAGTAATAATTGGGAGCAATCACTTGGATCGATTTGGTATGGATCTTTGGAAGTATGAAGTTTTCAGATCAACAAAAATTATTCCATGTTTAGTTCTGAAATCTCTGCATATCCGGTGTGTAGAAATTTAAAATTTAAGAACGGATCGATGGAATGTCCAAACACTAATATTTATTTTATACAAAGTCAAAATGAGAAGTTAATTTTAGGACGGAGGGAGTAGCTCTTACTGGTTCAGCACTTAATGGTTTAGATCTCTTACTGGTTCAGCACTATCTATTCAGAAGTTGCCAAACAGTCTCTAAAACTATATTGTGTGTTAGTAAGTATTGACCTATTAAAAACTAGAAATAAAAGGCATTAAAACCATAAAATTGTTAGACATGCACATGCATGTCTCCACAGCAAGCTAAATATTGAGTATTTATTTACTCTTTCTGTCCAAAAAAGATGTTTTTATTTTGCACATTTCATAAAACACTTTTATCTTGCCTCAAAATACTAAAAAAAATTTAGACAACTTCTACCCACAATAAAGAAATGTTAATTTTAGTCATTTTAGAAAATGAAGCATGAATATCTTTTTGGGACGAATGAAGTATAATCCAAATTTTAACTAGAATTGAAAATACTTCAAAGTATGATCTTTCAATCATTCAATGATTATATGGTCGATTAAATGGTTATAGAGTTTCCAAAAAAATACTCTCTCCGTCCGAAAATATTCTTTTCATTTTTCTTTTTGGTCCGTCCGAAAATATTCTTTCCATTTCCTTTTTTAGTATACTTTTTAAGACTAAATATCAATAATACCTTTCTATTTTATCACAAGTCTACTTTTTTAGTACTTTTTTAATAATAAAAGGAGATTTAAAAGTTTATGGTATGTGCATTTTTTACTATTTCTTAATAAGCGTGCCAAGTCAACACGGGAAAAACATTTCTGGACGGGGGGAGTATAGAACTTCAATGGATAATATATAAAGTATATTGGTTTTTGTAATTTTATATATTTATTTAAATAGTAACTCCAAATATTTGTGGATGTTAAAAAAATTAAAGTTTGATTCTACTATGTTGATTCGATCCGTTTTTTTCGAGATATCAATTTTTTCCAAATCGTATCACCTCATATCATTGACGAGTTTTTGGGATCAAATACTTTTGAATAATATCTCGTAACAAACGTTGTTGATGCCTTGAAGTGGAAACCACAATTCAAACAGACGATGATGATGAACAATTCTAGTATTGTATGCACCAAATGTGCGTACATATATTTTATACGGAGCAATAAATGTGTTTCTTAAAAATTACTTATGGAATATTTGAAATGAGTATTGTGTTCTTCATAAATATGTATGCCGATTACGTATTTTGGGATAAATGTAATGAATATTATGATATGGAGTATTGTTATGAGTAGTATGTTTCTTATAAAATAAATTTGAAAATGAGTATTGTGTTCCTCATGAATATGCAAATGTCGAAAATATGTCTTTAGATAAATGTAAAAACCATTATTAACAATTAAACCTTAATACGGAGTTGACGTGCTTGTTTTGTTTAAAATGAAAGAAAATAAATGCATGAAATGGATATTATATTAGTCGTAAATGTACATTTTGTATAAATGTAATAAATATTATGTATTTCTCATATGGTGAGTCGATTAAAAACCACTTTAAAATGTGTTTCAATGAAATAAAAACTCAAAACTATTTCTCCAAACACATTCCCAAATGGCCTAAACTAATGGCATTTGACTACTCTGTATTTTTTGAAAAAGAAAAGAGAGAAAAGTTACTGTCTTTCTTTTTGACTCTGCGTCGCCTTCGTTAGTAGCTAAGATGACTTCAGAACATTCCAAATTCCTTCAAATATTTCTTCCACTATTATTCTCTTCACACATTTTTTTCTCCATCTACACAGCTTCACGCATCTGGAACTCTTTTTAACATCTTAATTAGTTAGGTTTTTTTTTCATATTCTTGATTGAAGTTCAGAAAAAAATGGCGGAGCCGGTCGAGATAGTGAAAGCTCGCTTTGACAAGAGGGACTACAAGAGAATCGTTCTTGATAACTCTCTTCAAGTTCTTCTCATCAGCGACCCTGAAACTGATAAGGTTTCAATTGATTCCTCAACCTGTGTTTTACTTTCTTTTTTTTTGTTTTTTCAATTGAAAAAAAAATCACAAATTCTTCACTGCAACAATTCAAACTGCAATTGTTCTGAAAGTGTTTTTGGAAAGTTCCCATCTTTCTATAGTCTGGCAAAGTTATGTTTAATTTCCATGGCTCAATTTGATTAGTGGGAGTGATTAATTGAATCAGTGTGCTGCTTCAATGGATGTCTCTGTAGGCTCTTTTAGTGATCCCAGTGGTCTTGAAGGCCTTGCCCATTTTCTTGGTCAGTATCTTTTCCATTTTCTTTACTTGCGGCACAACTACCGGGCGGGCGGGCTATAGAATGAATTTTCTAGGATACTAAAATAAATATTGTACTTTTAAATATGTTTTTGGTTGCAGAACATATGCTCTTCTTTGCAAGTGAGAAGTATCCCCTGGAAAGTAGCTATTCGAACTACATCTCCGAGGTGTTTGCATTTGCTTCTTGGCAATGATATGTTTATTTTTTATATAGGGAAAATGATATGTTTATTTGACTTATGACTATTGTTTCATTTTCTGCTCTTTGTTTTTCATCCATACAAATTCCCTAGAATTAAGTAGCTTCTCATTTTATTTCTTGACCATAACTCTATTTATAGTTTTCTACTCCAATATTAAATACAAACGCATAACAACAACAAACTCAGCATAATCCCGAGTTCTTTGGGGTCTGACCATCTGAAGGGGTGAAGATATATGTATGCAACCTTACCCCTGAAAAATACAAAGAGGTTGTTTCTGTTAGACCGTTGATGCATTTACTGCCAAAAACTTCACAGATAGTAAAAAAATGATATTTAATGTTCCTTTTTGATTTAGTCTATTATTTACCCACCTGTTGCACCAATTCAATCTCCTAAACTCAACAAAGTTAAAACTTGAACTTGAAATCTGAATAAAATTTGAAACATAAATGGACTTTGAACTTGAAGTAGTCTGGATATAAATTGAATTTTAACTTGAAAGAACTTGAGGTTGAATCTTGACTTGACTAAATATGGACTTGTTGTTGGCATTGTTTACCTACTGATTTTGAAAAAATAGGCTCACAGAGATGACCCTAGTACAATGTTGAATGACAACTGAAGCTTGAATTGCATTTCTTGACAAATCACTTAATAGATCAATGCAAAAGGGTGCACCTTAGAGACATCCCAAAGCAAAGCTAAAATTGCTATAGTGCTGCAGGCTGCTTTCATAGCCATGTGATTTATATAGGGTGGCTTGACAGTTTATATTAAAACAATACACATTATACGTGAGCATGGTGATTACCTGTTTGTTTTTATTACTATATGGCATTGCCTAGAGTTATTTCCCTTTCACCTTTATTTTTTCTTCATATCTTGTATGGTAGCATGGAGGGTCAACAAATGCTTTTACATCTTCTGAACACACCAACTTTTACTTCGATGTTAACAATGACGGTTTTGAAGAAGCTTTAGATAGGTAATAAGGTCTGTAAGGATATTCATTCTGCTTTCCCCCTTCTTTTTTTGATAAAGTTTCCTTATTACTTTAGTTGTTTATTTTCAAGATTTGCACAGTTTTTCATCAATCCATTAATGTCGGCTGATGCTACAACAAGGGAGATAAAAGCTGTTGATTCAGGTTAGCATATCATTGCTTTGTGTGTGTGTATTTGAATTTATGTAAGTTGATATTTGCTGATTGTTTCATGTCTCTTTTCACTTGCTCCTTGGCGTAACCACCACAACTTATTTATACAGAAAATCAGAACAACTTATTATCGGATGTCCACAGAATCTATCAGGTATTTTATCTAGAGTCTAGACTCCCTGCATGGTTCAAGCTTTCTAAAATCTCATTATAATTTCTGACTTCTTAAAAGAGAATGGTAAAACTCCAGAATATAGCATCCACATCCCTTTTATATTGATTATAAGTTCAAGAAAACATATTGTTTCATGTTCATGTTTGAGTATTGATGTTTGGTTGTTATATAGTTTCCTTTTTTTATTAGAATAAACAGAAACATATGCTACTTTTTCATCCCTTTTTTGTGCAGCTTGAGAAACATCTGAGTTCAAAAGACCATCCATACCACAAGTTTGGGACAGGTCTGTTGTAACGTTGGGTTTAGGCTACAAATTCTGTATGATATAGTTTTTTTCTTAAAATAAAAACTGGAAGAAGCTGCCTGGAAGCCGGGTGCTTGACACACTTTTACTCATCCTCTAAAAACTAATTATTGCACGGGCTCCTCTTGTTAATGCTTAAAGTGGTTACTAACGTCATTATGGGACTAATTTTTGTTTCGGATTGTGTTTCTATTTTTATATCTAAGTTGACTGAATCACACTGTTCAAGAAAAGTATTGGGTTCACATGTTAATCAATACTTGAATATTCTACCCAAAATGCTCTCATTATATTACCATCTCTTTGTTCCTCTTATAAAAGGGGAAAATTGAATATTATTTGAAGGGTGGATAGTGGATTAGGGGAAGGTATTTATTGTGCACAATTTTCATTTTTTCATAAATGAACATGTAAAAGGGAACACTAGAATTTGGTGAATCTTGATAGGCAACTAGGAATAGAGAGATTATAACTGTTGTTCCAATGCTAAAGAAATGTTTGTTTCCCGTGGACATTGTTCTTCTCTTAACTGTTGTATATAAGACCTCGTCATGGATCTAGCAAAGAGCTATCATACTTATTCTTTTTCTTATTACTTATTATTATTCAAATTAGACCAGAAACATCTAAATAAATACAGAACAGAGCAGATAGATATAAATCATACTGGAATACCGGATATTATATTTCAGACAAGAAAATATTAGTCCCTCCATCCAGCAATTAGATTTACACATCCCTTTTTCGTGTGCCTTACAATGAAGTTTACAAATCCCAACTTGGCAACAGTTGAATGAAAGGTCTACAATATGATTAACTACATCATGCTATCACCCCTTGTCTCTCACATTTTGACTGCCCACATCACACCTTGTTTCTCGCCTTGAAAAACTATCTGTCACTTGCCTTTTGTCTTTCATAACAGCAACTTCTAGAATTCTTTAACCATTTTATTATCTACCTTATTTTCTGTTACACATTGTGTTAAACTATAAATGAGCACTTTCTTTAGCTCATTAGGCATTTCATGCTCTTTTCCTTCTTTTTCTTCAGTTATGGTCCTTCAATTTCTTGTTATTCAAAACAACATTATCTTTTTTTTTTTAATAACTATTTCTCCCCTTTACTTTTTCTAATGATACTCAATATGTGACAGCCCTAGTATTTTAACTTTTCTAATATATGCCATCAATTAACTCTTGATAGGGAGCTGGGAGACTTTGGAAGTACGTCCAAAGGAAATAGGATTAGATATAAGGCAGGAACTTCTCAAGTTCTATGAGGAAAATTATTCATCCACCTTGATGCATCTGGTTGTTTACTCAAAAGGTAACTATCACATGTATGCATTTGTTTCAGTTTCTAGTTTCTACTAACCTAAACTTTGCCTATACTAATCCCTTTCATTGAGGATATGTTAGATAACCTTGATAAAACCCAAAGCCTGGTGCAGAATGTGTTCCAGAAAATTCCAAATACACACAGAAGTTTCGTTCCTGATTGTGGTCAGCCTTGCACATCAGAACATCTACAGGTACTTAATTTCTAACAAAGGGGCTGCACCAAGCTCTCCCTGCCTTGCGGTGGTAGGGGAGGGGAACAGAGTAAATATACACAGTCATCACCTGACAATTTTAAGGGGATGTATCTCAGAGGTGCAAACCCGTGACCTTATGGTTACCAAACAAGAAACTCAACCATTGGCCCAAGCCTCATCGTCTTTCTAACAAGTGGAAATTAATTTTTCTTGACCCTTTTTTGTTTTAACATTGGAATTTTGAATGTTAGTGATTCAAGGAATAGGCAAAAAGGTTAACTAAAAATACTTATTATTTTAATAAAGCCTGCTATAGAAGCCATGTGTTACATTGTTTTTTACAACTCAGATTCTTGTGAAAGCGGTCCCAATAAAACAAGGTCACAAGTTGAGCATCATATGGCCAGTCACTCCCGAACTTCTTCACTACAAAGAAGGACCTATCAAGTATATAAGCCACTTGATTGGCCATGAAGGAGAGGGTTCTGTGTTTTACTGTTTGAAGAAGTTAGGTGGGTTCTCAACTATAACTTCAAAAGGTTACAAGGTTTTCCTAAAAAAAGGTTACAAGATTTACATGATTTTGTTTTCCCTTCTTTTGATCTTTTCCTTTGTTTGGTTTAGGGATAAATTAGAGAAAATAGAAATAGTAGAGAAATAGAGTAGATTTTGTCTGTTGCATGGGAAATGAAAAATGGAGAAGATGTGAGACACGACCAGATTAAAGTAAAATAGAATATTTTATTGCTGTAAACTGTGCACGATTATTTGTGTTCTCTAAATATAAATAGAGAACAGAGTAACAGACCAACATGACTTTTACTAACCAACACAACTATTACAAACCAACACACTTATTAACAATAGAAACTACCCATAACTGCCTTTTAGAAGCTGCCCACTTTTTTTTAATTAATTAAATATGTAAAACACATTAAACGACACCACACTAACGGAATCTATATTAAATGACCCGAACAGTGACTCATTACCCATTCAGTTATATGTGAACAAACCTGATTAAATCTAACAATCACGCCCTTAATCGTTGTTGTTCACACTGATCTTCACAGCAACATTGGTTCATCATCTTCAATCAAATTTGCAGTTTGTTCCTTTTGATCCCATTTTGGACATTCGTTCAAAAAATGCCCTAACTCATTGCACTTGAAACACTTAATGTGACTCTTATCCTGCTGAAACCGACCACCATCCTGACCTTTCCCGGACCCCCGACCTCTACCTCGGCCACGTCCAAAGTCTTCTCGATTTGAGCTCCAGCAACCACAACCACAATCCTGGACCTTCTCTTTTTCATCACCTTTAGTGAATAGTAGTTTACCATATGTATCTCCTTCCTCAGTTGGCTTTTTGATGCGTTCCTCGAATGCTTTCAATCTTCCAACCGCTTCTTGAAACGGCATTGTGTTAAGCTCAGCAAACTGTTCAATTACAGCAACGATCGGTTAGACCCATGATATTTTATATACAACAACAACAACCAAGTATAATCCCACGAAAGTAGGGTCTGGCAAGGTGTGTGAGTGTGTATGCAGACTTTGCCCATACTCAAAAGTAGAGAGACTGTTTCCGAGAGACCCTAGCTCGAGAAAAACAGAAAGCACAAAGTACGAATAAAAAAGAGCAAGCTAAGGGTAAAAAAGCACAAGGAAAAAAAGGAAAGGACAAGAGCAACAAACATAACAGCACACAACGTCAAGAGCAAAAAACTACAAACTAATGCCCAAAAAAGCAAAAGAAACTACCACTCAGACCCAAAAGACTACCCAGCTACCCTAATCCTAGATATCCTCGGTTCTAGAAAATTCAAATCATGTCTAATCACCTCCTTCCAATTCTTCCTAGATCTACCACTTCCTCCACCCCGTCCACTATTGTAAGCCTCTCACACATCCGCACCAAAGCCTCAACGCCTTGCCTCTTCATATGCCCAAACCACCTCAACCTCACTTCCCGCAACTTATCCTTCATAGTGCCACTCCACCCGTCCCCTAATAACCCCGTTCCTGATCTTATCCAACCTTGTCTGCATACAAATCCATGATGTTTCATATATTAATACTCACTCCATCCCATTAAAAGGTTCCACCTTTGAATTGGCACGAAGATTAAGAAAAGTGAAATTGTGTGGTTGAAAGTGATGTAGAGGTGAGAGAAATTGTAAATTTTTTCCTGATGTGGGAAGTGGAATCTGTTTTTGGGATGGACAAAAAAGGAAATATGGAACCTTTTTGTCCCATTCTTTCTATGGTTTTCAAGGGTGTGTGAGGCAGTGCTCCTTGATGCGCTGAGGCACAAAGGGAGTGTGTTGAAGCCTCAAAAGCTTAAGCCTGGGAGTTTGAAGCTTACGCCCCAGGTGGATAAGGCATACATAAGTGTTAAGGAGTGATTGAGGTTCGAGCCTCTGGTTTTATTTGCCACGAGCATTTATATCATTTATTTTTCTTTAGTTTTTGGCCTTCCTAACAAGTAATAAATACAGAACTATATTTATAAACCTAAGAGCAGATAAAATATGCAATGTCCTATATGCTATTGACTATTTCTTTAGCCTTCTTTTAAAAATGACTGGATTTTTTACTTTTATTTTTTTAATTTGGAGGGGGTTGGGGGGTGAGGGAGTTAAAGTCTAATTTAGAGCTTCTTCTCTTGGTCTGATGTAATTAGTTCTGATTACTTAAGGTTTGATCTAATTCTTTCTGATCTGATCTTTTTTTGTCTGATTTGAACCGATGTGATCTGATTAAAGCTAAAGTTGCACTATGTGTATATTTCCGACCTGGTTTGGTCTGATATGAATATGATTTGAATCTTTCTAATCTGATCTGAACTTTTGTGACGTGGTCTCATTCCAATAAGAGTAAGTAATAAGAATAAATTGAAGAGAATATGCTCTTCATTGTGACCAAAATCGTCAACAAAGCAACCTTAAAATTACTCTAAAAGGAAAGTGGTCAAATACAACGAGATGGACCGAAAAAGAATGTTTGCTAACATATTGGGATGGTGGGAGTATTCTCTTTCCTAATCATATTGTAATTTCATTTCTTAGTCATATTGGTTGTATGGATCCATGCCTTATAATGACTGTTTACATCTGGACTCTAGACTCCAACAGAGTTGGGATTATACTTGGTTGCTTTTTTGTTGCTGTTGTGAATCATTTAAAAAACATTCAATAATGCAACTTCTTCATCGGTTTAATACTTTCATATATTCTTGATATTCAAATATAATTCTTGCAGGTTGGGCCACAATGTTATCTGCTTTTGAATCCACAATAAGTCGTCTCTTCTCTTTCTTTGAAGTATATATTGAACTGACTGATGTTGGTCATGGTTAGTGTCCTTTCCTCCTTAAGTCTTGGACAAAAGTGGTATAAGACTACTTGAAGCAAATTCTCTTTAATTTGATGGAACAAATTAAAACTCAAACATCATTTGTATCACAAAACTCTCAGTTGAGTATATCACCATAAGTTTTAAGTTTTAACTTTTGGAGATCATATATCATTCTCTATGAATGTTGTTGCAGATCATTTTGAGGAAATTGTAGGACTGCTTTTCAATTATATTCACCTCGTTCAAGAAACTGGTGCCTGCAAATGGATATTTGAGGAGGTACAAATTATTTCTTTATTCTTGAAATTAAATGCATTATTGGGATTTCACTAACAATGACTAGATAAGCAAGAGTTTAATAATGTTTTTATATACATTTATGAACAATCAACTAAGCATGCATGTTACAGATTACAACACACATGAATGGATCTCACTAATTCCTAAGTAGAGAGTTAAAGAACTAATTTTACAAAGCTATGAGAGATGTTAAGCATTTTGGTCTTTATAGAAAACATACAGTAGCATTATGCGTATCAAATATCACTTTTTTATTTGGACTCTTCACTCTTGAAAGGAGTTGTTCTTCTTGAGGAGCAGCTTGTCACTGATGGGAAGTAACATTTTTATACACACAAAATCAAAAGCTGTTTTTTTTTTCATTTCTAAACTTATTATAAAGTAGAATTTTATGTTTATGGATGTATAAATTTCTAATGTATGTGTTCTCTACGCACAAGGGATTGCAAATTTCATTAGAAACTTCACAACATTCAGTGTATAGTTTTAAAATTTCTAGATGTTTCTAGACTTATCCATTTTCAATCATTGTTTATGAAGATCTCAACTACTTGTGAAACTGATTTCCATTATCAAGACAAGGTTTCGCCCATTCGTTATGTTGTTTCTATCGCATCAAGTATGCAGGTATGTAAATCTTTGAGCTACACTGTTAATCTTCCCTGGTTTCTTTCCTTTAAAACAGCATAATGCCTTAAACTTATTGAATCAACATGGTCGCTAAACATCTTCATTATTTTTGAAGTATCCCCAGATTTTGATCTTTTTAACAAGACTGGCCTATGGTTTTCTATTATTCAATTTTGAACTAGATATAATAATTGTTGTTTTTGCTTTTGTTTGTATAGGATTACCCTGCAAGTGATTGGTTGGTGGGATCATCTGTAGTTTCAAAATTCAGCCCAAAAATTATTGAAACAGTACTCAATGAACTTACTCCACATAATGTTAGGTAACTTTAGTGACCTAGTACATTTTGTTGTACGAATCTCTCATATTTTTTACCATTGTAGACCTTGTTATCTTTAATTTATTTTCGCTGACCGCAAAGATGAGCTGATCTTGTCACATGGAAAAATCTGTCAAACAGAATCTTTTGGCAATCTCCAAAATTTGAGGGACATACAAACTCTACAGAGCCTTGGTATGGGACTGCATATTCTTCCGAGAAATTAACTGGCTCTACTATTAAGGTTCTTAGCTAGCTATCTAGACTGGTAGACTGTATTTAAATTCAATGTAATATATGTAAGTGTTTGCTTCATTAAATTCACTTTTAATACTTCGCAGCAATGGATGAAAAATGCTCCTCATGATGATTTGCATCTTCCTGCTCCCAACTTGTTCATTCCTACTAATCTTTGTCTTAAGAGCATCCCAGAAAAGGTACTGGTCATATACTCATATTATACTTAATCTAACATTTTTGTTACACTATGTATTCTTGTATATATTTTTTATATTTGGTTATGCTAACAGATCAGTGCTCCATTTTTATTGAGAAAATCCGTGTATTCAAGATTGTGGTACAAGCCAGATACATCATTCTCTACACCAAAAGCATGTATTGTATTAGACTTCAGATGTCCCAACTGTGGAATATCTCCTGAATCAACTGTTCTTACTAACATTTTCCTACGACTAGTGATGGATGACTTAAATGAATACGGCAAGTAGCCAAGAGCAAACATTTCAATATGATAAATAGATTTTGTTTAGATGATAATTCAGTGTATGAGCCTGTATGACGTGGAGTAATTCATTAAATTTCTATCCCGCTTATTGGTTCATTATATTCTCTGTTTTCAGCCTATGATGCTCATATCGCCGGTCTTGCTTATTCTATAAGTAGCAGCTTTTCCGGTTTCCAGGTTTTTATTTGATACTTTGTAAGTCTTTTTTCAACAGTCAATTCACATTGGAGGAGTTAATCAGTACTACGTATATAATAGACTCAGTTGTAGATGTTTAATTAATCTAGTTGAGATGATTATATAAGAATTGAGATGATGCACAGTTTTAAACCTTATATAACCCAAAGTTGGACTAAAAAATGTAGGCGATGTATTGACATGACATTTAAATGTTTGGTGTGGAAGAGATATGATACATGCACTTTCAAGCAGTTTTGTACTTTTGTTCACATAAGCCTTTGGGCAGTATAATGGATTCTCTTGGTCACACATGTCAACGTTTCTCTTCTTTAATAGTTGGGAACTGTTTCACAAAGAAAAAACTTTGCCATGCAACTATATACTTTATGAATGCAAAGAAATTTGGAATCTGATGAGATACTTTCTTTCAGGTATCTGTTGGTGGATACAATCAAAAAATGACAATCTTGCTGGAAAAAGTAATTGACAAACTTCTAAACCTTGAAGTCAAACATGACAGATTCTCTGTTATAAAAGTAAGTTCAAATTTTCATGATTTCTTCTCACCATTTGTCTTCATGAAATTTTTGCTTTTTTTAAGTAGATGAAAAAGTTCTATTTCTGTGTGGTGTCTAAACTGTATGCACAAAGGCCAAAAAACTTTTCTGTGTGATGTTTTTACTTAATGAGCAACATTCATTTGGTTGCGAAGTATTTTTTGTAGTAAAAACCCAAACACAGAAATGTAGTACTACTGAAAATTCTTATTCAATTTCTGTCTCATATGCCAAAGATCTATATTGTAGTAAAGTATCTTTTTCTGTGTATTTTTTTGTGTCTTGTTCAATAAAGATTTTCATTGGGTGCCACTGGGATAGCTAGGGGGACAACACGGGCCGGTCCGCCCCAAGTTCGGTAAACAAATTATTTGTATGTAAACTTTTTACTATAATCTTTCAAACAAACAACTCTTTACTATAAAATTTATATGATGACTTATTTTGCCGACCACCCTGACGGATATAGGATCAGGGGGTATGTAACACCCCAACCCGCGTGACCTGAATACAAGGACCAGCGGATCGGGCTGCTACTAGATTGGCATTCAGACACAATAATTTTTCAAAACAATTTAAAACATTTAATTCAAAACATTATTTAAATATCCATCGGAGTTCACAAAACGGTGCGGAAGCCTTTAAGTATTTAATCAAAATACAACTTTGGGTTCTTGCCCTTAAAAACATAATTAATTCAAACTTAAGTATTAAATAATAAACTCCTCTAGCTAGCATCCATCCACCTCTCTGCCCTCGCTGCCCTCCAGGATAGTTCTTTATTCAACATTCATGTTACCTACGTGTAGCAAATAGGAGAAAGAGCTACACGCTCAGCATTGAAGCTAAGTGAGAACTATCTAACGTTTCGACTACGCATACAGACGAACCCACTAGCTCATAACCTCATACAATATCATGCACACAAGTATACAACATAATACCACATAACAGTCATTAAATAAATTCACGAGTAACAATTCATTACCCTATCTGTCTTCATTCATAGCTCATAACATAATTACAAGGCTAAGACCATACTTCCTTATTTACAACCGTATGTTCGGACTTGGAGCCACTACCTACGGCCATGACTCCGGTCTACCTTATTTAGCACCTTATGACACAACACAACCTAATGACCAACGAAGGAGTTCTCCGCTGGGTGGGTGGTACCCCTGTCCCCTTCGGAACGACAGTTCTTGGATCCCATACGTACGTTTTAACCCGCAGCCGTCGGATATCAGATCCGCAGGGCTGATCCTATCTATTGACATTTATACTTACAATTGTACTAAGGCAGTCCTAGAGTTCCCCTAGGTAGCATAATCATTTATTTACAACATCTCTATAATTCAAGCTTATTCCAACAACAATCTCACTTCCTTATTTACTTCCATAACCCAACAGGATTATATTTAATCATAACAATAAATATATCATTAA